GTCAATCAAGTTGGCAAGCTTCTTTGGATTATCTGTGATCGTCTTCTTCACTCCCCGTGGCAACATTAACGCAATCTCCCTTTGTACAACTCAAAACCTCTTAAAAACACGTTAGAAAATTCTCTATGTTAAACTATTCTTCCTTCACTGAACTTGCTATGAACATCAACTGCAGAGGATTTACCATAGTACTGGCCCCTGCAACGACACTATCTTACCCTAACAATATTTAAGTTATATAAATAAATTTTATATATTATAGTTACCAAAACATTTAGCATCTGAATATCAATTCCGATAACGTTTCCAGGCAGTGTGAGCCAACTGAATTGATTTAAAGTGAGATTCAATCGAACACCTGGGATGCATATGCAAATTATGCTGAAGATTTTTGAGTATTAATTGTCAATGAAAAAAAACAGTAAAAATAACACAAAAGTAAATACGGGTTTCAAACATTCAATTACAAAGAGGAAATAGAGCCTGATAGTTGACAGAGTTTAACTAGATTTGTACCTCGAATGAATGAGATGAGCAAAAGCAAAGAACAAGAGAGAAATTCTTGAGCTTTGATCAGGAGCGAGGGAACGGCACGTTAAGGAATTTGTTGGGGCTTAAGCTTAATAAAACTACTCACTGTTTAGACGGAGATTAATATATAGAGGCCCACTAGGCCCAAAAGATATGATATGGGCTCATTTGTAAGGCCCAAATTTTACTTCTTTACAGTAGTTTCTAGTATCGTATTCAAAACTGTTTTCGAAAACATTTTGACTTATCACTACTAAGGACATAACAATTATATTTATATCAAACAGACCCCTAATTGACATCGTTATGTATGAGAGAGACTCGCATACATGCACGCTAATGTATCTCTTTCGTCCCTCTCTTATAGAGTTTTACCGTGTTTATGTATATAATACCTTTAAAATGAAATCCGTTAAGATTTTCATAATGTTGTATAAATTTTTTGTAATCATATACCTAATCGTCTACTCCCTATATAAAGAGTGTAACTCTTTAGTAATAAATCAATGAATTGAAAACTCAATTCTTCAAAAAAACAAAATCATCTTTGTGATATTTCTCATATTCTTATATAAAGAATTACTATTTTTATATCAAATCAAATCTATGATTTTTGTATAAAATTATGGTGTGGTTCTAAGAAATGGGTCGTTTGATTAATTATTTCTTATAAGAATGATATATTGCGATCCACGATAAATATTGCATTTGTATGTCGATTATTGATACTAAAAATCTACGATAAAATCATTTAAAAGGGTATTTTTTTTCCCCTTCAAAATTGAACTTACATAAAATAAAGTTACAAGAATTAATATTTCAATCTTTTAATATAATGTTTTTGCTCTAAACAAAAATCATATCTATATACAAGTGATTAATCATGCAATATAATTAAAAAAATATATACATAAATATTTATAATAAGTGATCAATAGAGCACAATTAATTAATCACAAATGTTCATCAAAAGATCTTGATGATCGAGAACATTTTTACGTACAAACTATAATAATAGATCTTCCAAAAGGTGAAATGAACAAGATTTATTCAAAACCCCTTCCATGATTTATAATAATAATAATAATAATAATAATAATTTTTGATATTCATGTCCCACGAGCCAACATGGCAAAAAAATCTTCAACAGATTTCTGTTTTTCGATCATCCATGTTTCCTTTCTTCGTCTAATGAATTCTTCAGCTGCAGCATCAACTCCATGCAGTTGCAGTGACGCATAATTAGTCGATTCCATTAACAAACCAACTGTTTGATCTTCATCTTCGAGTTCATAATCTTGACGCTCGATATTATAATCAGTGGAAGCGCGAAAACAATTATATTTTTTATGAAAATGATCTATTGGTGAAGATGATGATTCTATGTAAAGCTTGCCCATGTATTGTGATCGTGAAAACCCCTTTTGAGTAAGTTGTTTTTGGTGGCAATATGGATTTTTCAAGGAATTGAGTTTGATCAAATGGGGGAATTTCAGACGTTGAAGTTTGTATATCAAGTGCTTGAATGCTTTTCTAGGGTTTAAAAGCTTCTTCTCCATTGAAGAAGAAGAAGAAGAAGAAGAGATCTTAAACGGGGTTTTATTTCTTTCTTGCCAAATTAAAGAGCATGTTAGGGTTTTGGGTTTTAGGATTAGCTAACAATGCATGCTGTTAATATATATGTATAAACTTATATATAAAGATAAGAAAATATATCAGAATATTCTTAGGAATAATGGAACATATAATTAATATTTGTTTTTTATTATTATGTCAAAGATTCATTAAAGAATCCATGAAGATTTATTTGTTTATTTATTTGGTTCTTAATATGAATTTCAATAGTCATGGAGGACGTAGCCAAGATTTTTATCGAGTGAGTTCAAAACCTTTAAGTTAATAAAATTTTGTGGGATCAATATAAATTTAAGTGAAATTAAAATTGTAAATACTATAAAATATAAAACATTTTTTTTATTTTTTTTAGAAGTTTGAGTGGGTTTAATTGATCTCATATATTATAGTGTGGCTAATTCCTTTGTTGAAGCGAGTTGATTTGATTTTTTAAAATAAACTTATAATGTGCTTAAAGATATACTTAATTAATGCAATATTACTTTTTAATATAAGGTAAAAACTAATATATATTTTAATATATACAATTATTTGATGAGCCTTTGATAAGGCAAGTCAATAAACTTGGTTTAGAAGAAAGGAAAGTGATATTGAAAAGGTATTATTAAATCTTAATCGTTCAATATTCTATCTAAGGGTTGAGAACGATATGATAGTAATAAAAGGCCTAAATGATTTCAAAAAATAAGTGAAGTAATTACCTTATATTAATTTGATTATAATCTAAAGCCCAACCACTAAGGCAACTAGTAAATCATAGTGGTAGAAGAAATATTTTTAAATCTCCAAGGCTTCATTTGGTTCATTATTGGATGATTTTTAGAATAGTATTTTGAAAAAAAAATTAAAATTGGGTTATCTTCACGAGAAATATAATTATTAATATTTTGTGAAATGAATAAAATAGAATAAGATTTTGAGAATATTGAAACAAATGTATTTTTAGGTTTAACTTTATTGGAAAAACTATAATAGCATTTTAAAGAGTACACCAAACGGAGCCCAAATCTTTGGCTTCGTTTGGTTGGATTTTGGGAATACTACTTTTAGTATTCCCAAAAAAGTTAAACAGTAAAATACCCAAAAACTCACAATATTATTCAACTTTATTCAACATTTTTTAAACCCTCTAAATTTATTAATTCAATTAAATACCCCTAAATATTTTTAATGTTTTTGTTACGGCGACTCCGGCCACTCTCAGGCGGTGGTGGCCGGCTGTCCGTATTTGAGGGTGGATTAGGGGTGTTTTTGTTAACTTTTAATGTTTTATTATAGGGGGTGTTTTGTAAGAAAACAAACATAGGGGGTATTTTAAATTTGTAAATCTTACATCGTAATACCCGTCCAATTCAACTTTTTTTTTAACTTTTTTCAAAAAACTTTTCCCAAAAACACAAAATTGTGAACCAAACGGAGCCTTTGATTTTCATCTTTGCATTGACATTCATTTTTGAGATATCCGGTTACCATATATAATTCCCGCTTTATTTGGTAACTTGGCGTTTAGATTTTTGGCCAACACATAATCGATTTGCTAATATAGTCAAACAATATTACTACTCTTCCTAACATTTATTCTAAATTTCGTCTCTCAAATGATGTATCAACATCAGTGTTTTAAAACTTTGCTTAGCCCGAGCGGTTTGACCAATTGAACTAGGAACCGAGGGCTTAGCCGAACCAATTACAGCTAAAAACCTTTTTTAGTAGCTAACCCACTTTGACCCGCTGTTGAACGGACAGAACAATAGTAAACCTCTGGTCCAACCAGCCCAATGACAAAACCGAGTCACCAAAAATTGACGATTCTAGCAGCTTCCTCCCTGATTCCGATAGATTCCGATGCCAATTGGGTCAATTTTTTTTAGATTATTTCAGAATACTAATCTCTTCTTACATTTTTCGTAATTAAATGTACATAAAATACATAAGATATGTCATACATTACATAACAATCGATGCTTAAAACTTCAATGACCCAAAAAAGGGTACACGAAAGACACACCTTCGTGAAGTTAAAAAAAAAAAAAAAAAGTAAATTTTAAAAATATATAATAGTGATTTGGATTTCTTCCACCTTTAATAATAAAAAAGGAAATAATTCCTAGAATACAGCTTCCAAATTTAGGGGGTTTAAAGGAAATTGAATAATTTTGAAAATAGGTGAATCAAACACAAATTTTGTGTTAACTGTTTTGAGAAAACTAGAATACTTTTCCCAATATGTGAACCAAACGGATCCCCAATTACCGTGTATAATTCCCGCTTTATTTGGTAACTTGGCGTTTAGATTTTTGGCCAACACATAATTGATTTTCTAATATAGTCGAACAATATTACTACTCTTTAACATTTATTCTAAATTTCGTCTCTCAAATGATGTATCAACATCAGTGTTTTAAAACTCTGCTTAACGGCTTAGCCTGATTGGTTTGACCAATCGAACTAGGAACCGGGGGCTTAGCCGAACCAATTACAACTAAAAACCCTTTTTAGCAGCTAACCCACTTTGACCCGCGGTTGAACCGGCAGAACAATGGCAAACCTCCGGTCCAACCAACCCAATGACAAAACCGGGTCACCAAAAATTGACGATTCTGGCACAAGTTAGGTCAATTTTTTTTAGATTATTTCATAATACTAATCTCTTCTTGCATTTTTCGTAATTAAATGTACATAAAATGCATAAGATATGTCATACATTACATAACAATCAATGCTTAAAACTTCAATGACCGAAAAAAGGGTGCAAGAAAGACATCACATCTTAATGAAGTTAAAAAAAAAAAAATGTAAATTTAAAAATAGCTCTGATATATAATAGTGATATGGATTTCTTCCACCTCTAATAATCAAAAAGGAAATAATTCCTATACCGAGTAGCCAATTTATGTTTCCTGTAAAATTTCCAAATGTTTTCACAAATAGGTATTAAATACAGATATAAATTATTATGCCCTTCAACATTTCAGTCTTGGTCTATCTAATCATAGGGATTTCTGAAATTCTTCAATAGATCAGGTATGTCGTAACCTAGCATGTCGTCGACATTTTGTATCATTTTCGGCTTCAACTTCTCGAATTTGTCGAAGCTGTAACCACTCAAAACCTCTTTGAAGTGCTCAACATTTGGAAAATCCCCAGGAGGTAGATGGAACTCCCTTTGGACCTGTACTAACAATAACAGAATGAATATATTTGATAGGAGAGTGTCATTGAAAAGTTCCGAGGATGTGAGTGGAGAAGTTTGCAAAGACAGGAAGAAAGTTCAAACCTTTCCAAATTCAGCTTCCAAATTATCGATGAGTCTCTGCTGAGTCTTGGCTTTGCCCATCATAGCAGGCATCTCCTTTCTAAGATGACTGATGATATAAGCATGTATCTTGGCAGCTCTGGCTCGCTTCACGAATTCATTGATCTGTGAGTAAAATTGCAGTCAGGATTTCATTTAATAAGCATTTTGAGGAAGATCTAGAACTAAACATTAAAAGGAATATGGAGTTGAACTGGGAGACACTTGCAACAGATACTCGCTTTAACACGTGATTATTAATATGCAGAAAAGAATGTAATTACTCACCCGGCGATCGCAAGCCTTTTTCGGAATGTCTTTTAGATCAGCTAGAAGGTCTTCTTGTTCTTTTTCAAAAAGTTCTTTCCCAATTGGACCAGTTACAGCTTCACTTACTGGTTTATCATTAAATGAGCTGCAAAAAGCAAGAGGGAGTTTAACTTTGCATACTCAGAATAACATGAAACTTAATCATCAGAGAGAAATGTATCAAAATTTATGAATATAAAAAGATAAAGAACCTACCCAATATAGACACGTGCAACTTCAGGAGTATTAAGTACTTTTCCTAGTGACCACATCAAAGCTCCATAAACCCTCATCAGCTGAAAAAGGAGGCTGATAAGGAGGTTTTATTGATATGATAAAAGACCTGCATCTCCAAATTTACATGCTCAAAACCAGAAAAATAAAGCACTTGGATAACAAAATTTACTTGTTGAGTATCAACTTGGTCTGCCTTGTTCAAAACCACACGAATTTTGTCATCATGACCACGTAATGATGAAATCACACGCTTAAATTCATCACTAACATCAAGTTTGTGAGGATCAAACAGAAGTAGAATGAGGTCACACTTTGCAGCAAACCACGATGTTACACCAGTAAAATCATAGGATCGCTGCGTACGTTGCTTCTCTCCTGACAAAACTCCAGGAGTATCTACCAATGTAATGTGGTCAAGAAGCTTCAAATGCAGAAGAAAATGATTCAGGTCTTATGAAAGGAGAACACAGTATGTGATTCAAAATTTAAAATTTACTACTCTACTCACAGGATGTGGCATTTGAGAGCACTCAAACTTTGACAAAAATGCAGTTCCAAAAGTTGTGAGACCATGGAATGGCATGTCAGCTTGGACAGCAACAGTGTTCCCTGGTATACTTCTTTCGTCAGGTCCAGACTGTAAAGTGCAATAAGCTTATAAATCCTATGAAAATATTTCAGCAAAGTAGACAACTGAATGTCAAGTCTGCTAAAGAGGGTACAGTGGTACACTATATAAAAATAACTTTAAATGAGAACTCATAAATACCATAACAACAACAAATCTGTCAGTCGTCGGCTCGGGTCCAATGTGAGCTCCTGTAAGTACGAAGAAATGAACTAATTAAAACCTAAAAAAAAAAAAAAAAAAAAAAGAAAAAACTTTATGCTCAAAGGGAAATGACAGAGAACAAGAGACAAAAAGGACAACTTGCCCGGATAGCCTCTTCTAAGCATATGTTTTATGAATGTTGTTTTTCCAGTGGAGTACTGGCCCAAAAGCATGACCATTGGTTTGGCATCAAAATCACTATTATTCTACATCACACAAGAAGATATCAAGGATTAATAACTTCCCTATGACTCACTCTCTGTGATCTACAATGTAGGACAGGAGCACTACCCAGAAAAGGTTGTGCATATGCCATAAAATTAGATCTGAATTAAGAGTAATAATAAACACACTTGGAATGTAACTATTGTAACCAGAGGTTATTCCTCACTTACCAATAATGGGGATACAAAATCATTAAAACGATAGGTAACTTCCAATGGCTTTAGCTTTTGAATATACAATGTCTTTAAGCCATCCACTATCGATGTAACAGAGGACAGAGATAACTGTGAATAAACCAGAACAAGGCCATAAGGTAGACATAGCAAAATCATATTTAATTAAAGAAGAAAAATTGATGTTATATTGTTGCCAGAGAAGCACCAGCTGCAAGCCATAAAAAATTTCTGTTATCATCTCTGAAACACATCAAGGCATGATTCTGTTGACATATAATCCCATTGAAAAAATAAATAAATAAATAAAGAAGGGAAGAGTTCCCTTACACAACATAAACATATGTAGAAAGAGGATAAAATTTTAAAAGCAATCACAAAGAATATTAAATGCATTGAACTCAACAAACTCTTAGATGAAATAACTAATGTGAGAAAGGGTAAAGAACCGAATTGCAAAACTGGCAGCATCGCTAACTAAAAAGATCTCCAAATACTTTCACACAATAGAAATAACTGGAGTAGAGTGGGCTCTGTGTGGTGTATCAAATACAAATCAGAAAAATCATGAGCTCACATACATCCTCAAATATACATAAGCTAAATTATGATCAGTAAGTTAAACCTTTTTTCTTTGTTCACTCATGTATAACCAACAACTTTTAGATGCTTGTATATCGATGTTTTAATTATCACAGTCTTCTAATTCATGGATAGTGTGATTCAAAGCATGACTAAATCTAGTAAAAAAAATTAACCATTTAAAAAATGCATGCAAACTTTACATTTAGAAGCTAAAACACAAACCTTTTTTGATGATTTCGTAGAAAACCAACTAGCTGAAGGTGAGGGTTGAGGTTGGGAACTACCTGTGTCACTGCCAATTAGTAATAAATCTATAACAGAAGACCAAATTAGAAATGACCATCATGAACATAACAAGAAACTTCTTACCATTCACATCAGGATCACTTGTCTTTGATGAACGCTTTTGCTTCTGAATAGATTAAATAAAAGAGTAAGAACTAGCATAAAACGTAAATGAAAAATTGAAATTAAGAAAATAGGGTACATACTGCAATTAAAGCATCCAAACCTTCCATTACAGGAAGTTTCAAACTTTGGAAGTCAACTGTAATACACAAAAATGATTTACTTTAAATTATAGATTACCAAACAAAATGCAAATTAAAGGAGAGCAACAAAAAATAATGCTTCTGAAAACGGTTTACCATTGCTATTCAAGAGATCATGTGTTATCGCATGTCCATCTTGCGCTAGCGAAACTAGCTGCAGATTAAAAGTAGAATAGAGATGTCAGATAGATAATTTTATCAAATATTTTTTGATAAATAAAAACACTAAATTTTGGTATGAACATTCCATGCATAGCTCGTGCACATTTGATGCTACTATGAAAAATTATATTTTTTTATTCAAAACATATTCAGACATATAACTTCACAATATATGGCCCTACTCGACCCATTTAACTTAACAAAAATTAACAAGTAATACAAATTTACAATGCATGAAATACACTAATTATAATCTGCATAGCACTAATGCATGAAATACAGTAATTATAACCTGCATAGCAGTTATGAACTCTCTGAGACCAAGATATCCCTGTCTCTTGGAATCTGCAATTGCCCAAACCTTCAAAGAGAAAAAACAGTGAAAAAAATATCGTCAACATAACTAAATAAGAAGAACCCAACTAAAAGTACAAAGTCAAAAACTTATATGAAGGAAGGAAATACATCAAACAGTGTAATACTGAGATTTCCAAACGATAATTCTAAATTTGGTATCAAACTACATAAGTCCAAAATCAGGGTTTAAGAGACTAAAAAAGAAAAGTCCAGTTTTAGTTTTTGGTACACAAGAAAGGGTGAATCCTTCACACACAAGAAACATTGTTCTCTCACAAAAGTTAAGGTTCTTTCTTTACTTGTAATGTCTCATGAATTTCAATCCTGAAATATATAACATCAATCCAGCTTTTGGAGTTGTTTTCACATCAAATTACCATGTGAAATTCTACTTTTGCAACTCACAATGTACTCATATATGAATCCACAGATAAACAACAGAAAAGCACGTCAAATGTGATTTCGAGCAAAAACAACTCCAAATGACCTTCACTTCATCACAAAAAGATACATTCGGACACACATACACACATATTCCGAAAAGACAATTACAAGGGAGTTGTAGAAAAAATCAAGACTCAAATCTGTAAAGCAAGAACAAATAATGGTCAACAAGCAACACATTGAATCAACCACAAAAAATTAAATAAAAATGGTACCTGCTTGAGATCTTGTCGTGGTAAATTCGACAAAGAGAAGAACTTAATTGCATCAGTACCCGTAATTCGACCATCACCATCTAAAAAAACACATGTATCTCTTAAGATTAAAGTTGAAGTCACATTTCATAACATGGCTAAACATAAGAAAAAAGAGGGTACAGTGGTACACTATATAAAAATAACTTTAAATGAGAACTCATAAATACCATAACAACAACAAATCTGTCAGTCGTCGGCTCGGGTCCAATGTGAGCTCCTGTAAGTACGAAGAAATGAACTAATTAAAACCTAAAAAAAAAAAAAAAAAAAAAAGAAAAAACTTTATGCTCAAAGGGAAATGACAGAGAACAAGAGACAAAAAGGACAACTTGCCCGGATAGCCTCTTCTAAGCATATGTTTTATGAATGTTGTTTTTCCAGTGGAGTACTGGCCCAAAAGCATGACCATTGGTTTGGCATCAAAATCACTATTATTCTACATCACACAAGAAGATATCAAGGATTAATAACTTCCCTATGACTCACTCTCTGTGATCTACAATGTAGGACAGGAGCACTACCCAGAAAAGGTTGTGCATATGCCATAAAATTAGATCTGAATTAAGAGTAATAATAAACACACTTGGAATTTAACTATTGTAACCAGAGGTTATTCCTCACTTACCAATAATGGGGATACAAAATCATTAAAACGATAGGTAACTTCCAATGGCTTTAGCTTTTGAATATACAATGTCTTTAAGCCATCCACTATCGATGTAACAGAGGACAGAGATAACTGTGAATAAACCAGAACAAGGCCATAAGGTAGACATAGCAAAATCATATTTAATTAAAGAAGAAAAATTGATGTTATATTGTTGCCAGAGAAGCACCAGCTGCAAGCCATAAAAAATTTCTGTTATCATCTCTGAAACACATCAAGGCATGATTCTGTTGACATATAATCCCATTGAAAAAATAAATAAATAAAGAAGGGAAGAGTTCCCTTACACAACATAAACATATGTAGAAAGAGGATAAAATTTTAAAAGCAATCACAAAGAATATTAAATGCATTGAACTCAACAAACTCTTAGATGAAATAACTAATGTGAGAAAGGGTAAAGAACCGAATTGCAAAACTGGCAGCATCGCTAACTAAAAAGATCTCCAAATACTTTCACACAATAGAAATAACTGGAGTAGAGTGGGCTCTGTGTGGTGTATCAAATACAAATCAGAAAAATCATGAGCTCACATACATCCTCAAATATACATAAGCTAAATTATGATCAGTAAGTTAAACCTTTTTTCTTTGTTCACTCATGTATAACCAACAACTTTTAGATGCTTGTATATCGATGTTTTAATTATCACAGTCTTCTAATTCATGGATAGTGTGATTCAAAGCATGACTAAATCTAGTAAAAAAAATTAACCATTTAAAAAATGCATGCAAACTTTACATTTAGAAGCTAAAACACAAACCTTTTTTGATGATTTCGTAGAAAACCAACTAGCTGAAGGTGAGGGTTGAGGTTGGGAACTACCTGTGTCACTGCCAATTAGTAATAAATCTATAACAGAAGACCAAATTAGAAATGACCATCATGAACATAACAAGAAACTTCTTACCATTCACATCAGGATCACTTGTCTTTGATGAACGCTTTTGCTTCTGAATAGATTAAATAAAAGAGTAAGAACTAGCATAAAACGTAAATGAAAAATTGAAATTAAGAAAATAGGGTACATACTGCAATTAAAGCATCCAAACCTTCCATTACAGGAAGTTTCAAACTTTGGAAGTCAACTGTAATACACAAAAATGATTTACTTTAAATTATAGATTACCAAACAAAATGCAAATTAAAGGAGAGCAACAAAAAATAATGCTTCTGAAAACGGTTTACCATTGCTATTCAAGAGATCATGTGTTATCGCATGTCCATCTTGCGCTAGCGAAACTAGCTGCAGATTAAAAGTAGAATAGAGATGTCAGATAGATAATTTTATCAAATATTTTTTGATAAATAAAAACACTAAATTTTGGTATGAACATTCCATGCATAGCTCGTGCACATTTGATGCTACTATGAAAAATTATATTTTTTTATTCAAAACATATTCAGACATATAACTTCACAATATATGGCCCTACTCGACCCATTTAACTTAACAAAAATTAACAAGTACTACAAATTTACAATGCATGAAATACACTAATTATAATCTGCATAGCACTAATGAATGAAATACAGTAATTATAACCTGCATAGCACTTATGAACTCTCTGAGACCAAGATATCCCTGTCTCTTGGAATCTGCAATTGCCCAAACCTTCAAAGAGAAAAAACGGTGAAAAAAATATCGTCAACATAACTAAATAAGAAGAACCCAACTGAAAGTACAAAGTCAAAAACTTATATGAAGGAAGGAAATACATCAAACAGTGTAATACTGAGATTTCCAAACGATAATTCTAAATTTGGTATCAAACTACATAAGTCCAAAATCAGGGTTTAAGAGACTAAAAAAGAAAAGTCCAGTTTTAGTTTTTGGTACGCAAGAAAGGGTGAATCCTTCACACACAAGAAACATTGTTCTCTCACAAAGTTAAGGTTCTTTCTTTACTTGTAATGTCTCATGAATTTCAGTCCTGAAATATATAACATCAATCCAGCTTTTGGAGTTGTTTTCACATCAAATTACCATGTGAAATTCTACTTTTGCAACTCACAATGTACTCATATATGAATCCACAGATAAACAACAGAAAAGCACGTCAAATGTGATTTCGAGCAAAAACAACTCCAAATGACCTTCACTTCATCACAAAAAGATACATTCGGACACACATACACACATATTCCGAAAAGACAATTACAAGGGAGTTGTAGAAAAAATCAAGACTCAAATCTGTAAAGCAAGAACAAATAATGGTCAACAAGCAACATATTGAATCAACCACAAAAAATTAAATAAAAATGGTACCTGCTTGAGATCTTGTCGTGGTAAATTCGACAAAGAGAAGAACTTAATTGCATCAGTACCCGTAATTCGACCATCACCATCTAAAAAAACACATGTATCTCTTAAAATTAAAGTTGAAGTCACATTTCATAACATGGCTAAACATAAGAATTTGAAAAAAAAAAAAAAACAATATAAACTTCATTCCTATCTCAAGCATCTCAACAAATCCAACAAAACAAAATAGAAGCACGAAAAAAAGGGGAAAAAAAAAAATCCAAACAAACTTGTTTTCTCTCCGTTTTCTCATTCACCAAACACAACATAAAGAACCAAATCCTGTGCTCATAACCAAACAGAATTTACACATTCCAAACGAAACACTTTCAACTACAGAAACTAAATTATAATAATAGTTTACGATTTCTTCCAGCGAACTCCCATCAGCATAATTCTTAGATCGCGCCTAAAGGTTTTTATATCGAAGTACAATATAAATATTGAATGAAATTAAATGAAGTTACGCGCGCATTTGAAAGAAGAGATTAATATGTACCTGAATCGGCGTGATTAAACCATTCCTGGTAGATCTTCTGGTGCTCTTTGGAACACGAACCAATCGGACTCGTTATGTCCATCACTACAGTAAATGATCAAGCAAAACCGAAGCCGGATTGTGTATTTTTATGTTTCTGCTTTTGATTTATTTTGTTTTCGATGTTTTCAGTTCATACAGAAGAGAATGTAAAAAAGGTAACAAAAACCAGAAAACAGTTACTATCGCCACTTGGTTTGTTGAATGTTAGGACGTAGGACGTTAGGTCTCTTCTTGCCGGCGGAACGCGAATGTGAAACTCCCCCTAATTAGTTCATACGGCGTCGTTGCTTCGAGTCTACGGTAATTTAATCGCTTTTCGCAGTGAGAATGTTAAAAGAGCGTTATAATAAACGACGTCGTTTTGTTTGTGGAACTTCGTGTGTGGAAGCCAACTCAGCACGTGTTTATTTTTTATTTCAAATGGGTTTATTACTTTATTTATCAAGAAGGGTAAATTTTTATCGGAACAGCGCTCAATCAATATATAAAGAGTAAAACTACAGTTATTGAAATGAGCACACCAAATTTATGCATCGAATGATGTGATATAATCTTAACCATTAATTAATATTAATTTATAATTAATCGACGATCAAGATTTTATCACGTTATTCAGTGCATAAATTTGGTACATTCCTTTCCATAACTGTATTATTTTCCATATATAAATATAAACCATTAAAGCTTTGGTCGGAGGACAAAATTTTGACAGGAAATCTGGTGTTTTAGTTCTACAAATAAGCCACCTTATATATATATGACTACATGAGTATTATCAAGTTAAATGAAGAAGCTCTATAATTCATCTGAAATTTAGGCAAAGAGTTTTCCAAAAAGAAGACAAAGAACAATGGTATTGATCGCTAATAACAACTCCAAATATACAAGAAACCGATGGAATGTTACACAAAACAAGGCTTAAAAAGAATAAACAAAAGAAGAAAGGAGACAGAAAAAAAAATGATAAAAGAACAGAAAAATTGAATGGATATGAAGCCTTTACAAGATCGCTCTCCAACCTTCTCTCTTTTTGACTCTACATATAATATGGTCTAAAGCAATCAATCCTAAAGACCAAGAATGATATCAAACAAGAAATGGATTGGAAAAAAAAAAAATTCTCAAGAAATACCAACAGTCTTTCCAAGCAACCATAGAACAAGAGACATTTCGATACCGAAAATGGTGTGAAGTGTGCTCCTATCTAACATGAACCCGTATAGCGTAATCCCTGCTCTGTTGTTTTCAAAGTAATTCACTGCCAATACAGGAAGAAAATCATCAAACTAAAGTAAATTATAAATATAATGTGTATGCATTGACAGGTCGTCGTGAGATTTACCTAGAGCTTGTCTCTTCTGGAATGAAATGGTGCTATATGCATAAGATGGGATGAGGTTTGTGTTGTCCAAGTCATCTTCTTCATCACCAAGATCATCAGCATCTGATCCCCCATGGCCACTCCCATGATCGGCTTGGCCCGCACCAGCACCCATAAGAGTTTCACTGTCATTTAAATCAAATGAATCTAGCGTGGCACAAACATGCCACTTAGCAGCAAGACATGTGATAGCCTGTGCCTTGTGTGTAATTTTTGATGCACTTCGCAATAATATAAGGAGTGCAGTGACAAGGGTTATGGAGCACAGCTGCAGACAAATAATTGGATAACACATCGTTAGTGCATTTTCCATGTGAAATCTGAATCATGTCACTTAGCAGCAACATGCTGATCCACATCATGAATTAATAGTTCTGCATAATTCAATTTCAAGTAACATTGCAGGGTATAATCAAGCCATAACCTTTATCATTATAAGAAGTTCATAATTCTGTCAGAAGGATCAACCTTTATCATTATAAGAAGTTCATAATTCTGTCAGAAGGATCATACAGTAGGGACACTTCATGGAATTATACACTTTCATGTAAGACAGTTACATTAACATGATGAAAAATATACTTCCGTATTACTGAAAGCAAACTTATTTCACAGAATGCTGATCTTTTAATGGATGGTTTTATAGGTCACTAGTAGATTGATTTGAACTTCCCTACTATATACATATATATGTGTGTGTGGGTGTGTGATAAATGGGGAAGGATACATACCGCAAGTTCTCCAGCCCTGTACATGTCCACAGTAGAACTTGACTTTGTTGTGATAAGCAATGAGGCAAACTGGCTCCCTGTGACTAAGATCAAGGACCACAATATGAACACACGATATCGATGGCTAATGATCCTCAAATGCCTCCTGATCCTAAGATGCTCAGACAGTACAGACCCCACATCAGACTCCGTCTGGAAAACTTGAGCAAAATCCTGGAGCCGTAGGATCTGAAGGTGGCATATCAAACGGAAGAGAACACATACGAGGAATATGACAGTAGTACGATAGAGCCAAGAGCAGAGCTCCATTATGCATGCAATGCTATCGCTGAGGTAAACATTGCCCAAAAAGGGAATCTGTGAGGCACCGGAAGCATACCACCATATCTTGTATGCAGTCTCCACAACAAAGCAAGGGAGGACAAAATAGGAGAGGATCTTCAATGATCTCTGCATAAATCATAGGAATAAAAACTTCTAAGCCCACCAAAAGAGAAACATATCCATAATAGAAAGAAAAGAAATCTTGTATCAGATAAGACATTCTCTCAAATGTCTATCCTGTAAAGCAAGTCCATTAGCCAAAAGTGTACAATGAACAACTAATGGACAACTAGAATCTATAATCTTTACATTGTTCTAGGGCTTTTGGTGACTTCTACATTATTGTAGTTAAGTTCCTACTAAGCAAGAGTTACAACAATGCACAATCTGGATAATGCCAGAGAATCAGCCATCACAATTTTGGTAGGTGGTTCAGGTATAGAACTGTTCAATATAGTGAAGTTTTCACTTTTTATTTATGCCCCACCAGAAAGGTTCTCAATTTATTATTACTAGTTCTTTCAAAAAAAAAACTTTTTATGTGGCTGAGCAGTAAGAGACTTTGCGTATAGAAATTTTATTTTCTTCCTTCCACCTGGTTTACAGCTCAAAACTCTCGAGTCTCAATACAGCTGATCAAAGTCAAACTTCACTTGATTACCGGCCTAGTTTTTGGACACTTTGATCTTCAATCATACACATTTGATAGACAAAAAAGGAAAGATATTCTTAAAAGAATTAAATATTTAATATTCAATTGGAAAAAAACCACAAAATTCATATATTTAAAAAAAAAAAAAAAAAAAAAATTGAATCATAAAACAGGTTTTAAACAATATTAACATTTCTAACCCAGAAAATCAACACTAACATTCTACACAGAACTCACATAATAGGGTCTAAAATCATGTAATTTCATCCAAAAATATGAAATTAATAATAAGTTCTATAAATCCATAATAGAATAAATAAAAAGACAAAGAGTCAGAACCATATAAATACATAAAATGAATTAAACAATTAAAATTCAATGACTTCAACTCAAAAGTGATCAATAAATTCAACCGGAAAGAGACCACAAAATTCATCTTTTTCAAAGAAATTAATCATCAAAGAGCTTATAAACAAAAATAGCATTTCTAACCCAGAAATCAAAACCATTCTCTGACTCTCTCAAGATGATCAAATCAAAATTTTCACAAAAAACTTAGGCTAAAATCGCACCATTTCAATAAAAAAACAAAAAAACCAAAAAACAAAATAAAAAATGAAACAAATAAACACAAAGAGAGATGAATTATATACATACATTGAGCTGTTCTGTGTATCCTCTCCTTACAGTCTCGCTTTCATCACATAGCTTATCAAAGAACAAGAACCGTCTGAGCCCAAACTTCTTAACAAACCCAGATAAACAAATGAACGAGAGCGCGGCCACGCTGCTCAGTGACACCTGAACCACCCCGTCAAAGGGCCGGTCGTGGTGGGCGTCACACGTCCCACAAGCCAAGAAAAAATGCGAAAACGCGGGAACAACAATGGCGAAAAGCAGAAACACGAACCACGAAAGACACGCCCTCCACAAATTCGATTGGTCCACGCACATCCATCGGAGATATGATCTGAAACTGTGCAACTCGTCCTGCGCATGCGAGATGCTCCTCGTGAACTTGTTGTTGGGCGGTATCAAAACTTCACGCGTTGAGTTTTCGTACTCGTCCCCCATGCCGACGATGATGAAGGCAGAAAACTTTTTGTTCGAAGAGGAAGAAGGAGAGTGCTTGAATTTAAATAAGCTCGTTATGTTTTAATTTTATTTGAGTGGTACTTTTGTTAATGTATTTTCGAACCAATGAAAGTGAGCCACGTGGACAATTGAATAAACTATATAAAGTGTTCATATTTTGGGGTCCAAATCAAACATAGTACAATTTGAATTTCATTATATTTGTAGTAAATTTTGCTTGAAATTGAACCATTTTCTTAGGGATTAAGACTCCAATTTTAGTGGGTGGTACACAATTAAGGTAATTGAGGTTTATAACTTAAAATCAGGGGCTCTAATACTATATTAAGATAACAATTTGATCCGAAAAGTTAAAGTTTAAGATGAATTAAAAAGACCACTTAACTTAAAAGTTTTAATTAACGTTTAGATTTATCATAATTAGTGTACGAACGAGAGTTGATTATCTTTTAAGGTTAAATTTTTAGGTGTGAATATATTTTCTTCTTCATTAATATGTTAAACATCTAAATGGAAATCACGTCGCACTCGTTGATTGAGATAGTGGTGAATAATCTTTAAAGTGTTCATCTTAAGGATCATGACGATGGGATGATGTAGTCACGAGAAAGAATTAGTCGAAGTGTATACAAACTCATCCAGACACTCTGTTTAATAAAAAGTATTCATCTTAAGGTATAATGAGTACAAAAATAACATTAAAGTTAGAAATTCTCACGAGAATCTTTAAAAAAATAATAAATAAAAAATTTGATTGTTCAATCTCTCTCTATATTCAACATATACCCTTAATTTAAAAGGTAAGAATCATCTTGCTTAAAAAGAGAAGTAGAAACTTCTTAATATAATACCAACCCCATTTGTTTTAATTTAAATTAAAAAAAAAAACAGACAATTTAGATTTATTAATATATTAACTATTTTAGTTGTAAGTTATAAGACTAATACAATTATACTTTAGTATATGTTTCATGGTCCAAATGTTACATAAACATTAATCTTTGGCCAAAATTCATGATATGTTTCCCACTAAATCTTCTAAACCCTATTCTAATCATAGCTTTCTTAGCTACTTGTGCTGCTCACACTATTATCAATCATAAAATCTTTCCATTGCCCCGATGTAAACCTCACAAAAAGGGAAAATAATACAGTTATAGAAGGATGCACATCGAATTCGTGCACCAAATGACGTAACATAATCCTAACCGTCGATTAATATTAATTCATAATTAATCGACAGTTAGGATTGTGCCACGTCATTCGGTGCACGAATTCGGTGCGCATCCTTCAATAACTATAGTTACTATAGCATTACTCCACAAAGAATTATGTGTTGAGCGATAGCAGCAATATGACAGATATCAAAACAATTATTTTTTTCTTGTGATTGTGGAGTCCGAAGCCAACTTATGCCCACCTCGACTAATCCTCCAGTGGTTTGAAGTTAACAATCGAATAAAATCTCTAATAACCACTAGTTTGTGCACACCTCGACTAATTCTCTAAGACCCTTAGTTAACGACCAAGTAAACCCTCAAGTGGCCATCAGCTTGCGTACATCTCAACTAATTCTCTGAAACCTTAAAGTTAACAACCATGTAAACTCTTCAATGACTACCTCTATTAGCAACTGAGGGGAATCAAATTCAAGACCTTCAGAGTAATATACCTTAGAGTCCTTATTATCTCACCCGACCAACCAAGGATGGTTATCTGTACCTATTCATTAACAGGCTTTTTGGATGGCTTAACAAGGTTTTTAAAAGTTATAGATACATAAATAGATTGTTTTATACAAACTGTCGTGTCATCATGTTAACTTAAAAAGATGACAAAATGATCCATCCTTCAAAGTATTTATTAAATTTTTTTTAGTTTTCCTCTTTCTCTTTCACATGTACACTTCACCAACTTTCCTACATCACTCTACTCATACAGCTGGTGGTGGGGCACCATAACATGCAACGTGGACACGCGGGCCACCATTCACGGCGGAATCTGCCACATGGGAGGCCGAAGATGGGATCATTAGCATCATTATTCAACTTTTGCCTTTAGTGTATATTGTATTTGCGCAGACAAAATGATGGTGAAACTTGTTCAAAATCTATTGCAGATTGCAGAGTTTAGGGTTTAAATTAAGAGGGTTTTGTTGGGGTTAAGAGTGTTCGCGTGTGAGATCCTTGTTGGTTGCATATTCACGAGGATCAACTGATCCGCTGGCAATTTGGCTTTACTTCGTGGGCAGTTTCTGTAAAGGTTCTTGTGAAATATGGCAGAAAGTTATCAAATGATAGGCTATCATTCATTTCCAATGTTTATGGGGAATGTGATCCAATGGTGAAGATTAAAGGGTTTATGTTGTGCGAGAGTTTACAACAAGCTCAGAATCAGTGATAGTTCGAAGAAAGTGAAGCTCGGTGCAACGAGCTAGGTGGATAGTTATTTATATGTCACAGATAAGTTTTATCTAATCGTATAATTTGGATGTAACGTGATTGAGCTAATCATGTTATTAACTTCTTATGATTAAGCCACAATCTTTATAATCTCTCAATCAACCATTATCATATTCTTGTATAAATACCCCTAGAAAACTCACTGTAAGGGTTTAGCAATTCTAAAGAGACTAGACTTATTTTTACACTCAAACCATTAATAAGATAACAGTAGACATAAGCTTAAGTTTAAACTTGCCGAACCTTTTTAAAGTTGTTTGCATTATTTATCTGTTCTTTATTTTTGATTTTGATTAATCATGCACACATCTAATCTGATTCTGTCAATGTCAATTGGGTTCCGTTAGTTGCGTAAAATCGTAACAACAGTTAACATTGCCACAAATAAGATAAGCAACCCCTTTAAGATCATTGAAAATTTGTGGGTATGATGGTTTAGATAAATATAACCAATGTCCATCATGTAGGGGTGTTCAATTCTGAGTACCCTGTATTTTTTTAAAGGAATCGAAACCAGAACTGGAACCGACGGTTTCTTGAAATTTGGAACTGAAACTTGTAACAACAGTTTCGATCTTGATTTTATATTACCCTCCAAAAGTTTTTAAAATGGCAAAAAAAAATAAAATTACAAATTATAAATTCAAAATTACAAACTCTATTACTTTGTAAAAGGTAAATTCTCAAAAGTCAAACCAACTTACTTTAAATGTTATGAAATATAAATATAAATGTATTCATATTACTTTTTCTACAAAAGTTTTTACTAACCTCCATACTCTTTAATTTTATTTTATATTAGTCTCGGTTCCCGGTTCCGATTCCGGTTCCTAACTATAGGAATCAAAACCGTACAGTAACGAGCTCAGATTTCCATTTCATGTAGAAGCATAAGTTGAGTCCATCTCAAGTAAGCCCAATTGATTGCACCATCTCATCACAATTTAAACCATTAGGCCCATTACTTTTGTTCATATTCTGCAGAATGTTCTAAGTTCTAACCATCATATGTTAGGCTATGTTTGGGAGATGGGTTAAAGGGTTAGATTGGACTAAATTGGTCTTGGCTATCCATGGGATTTCTTATCCACAGGTTGGGCAAATTTTTTTTTTTTTTTTCTGTATTTTATGTTATGTTTATTAAATGAATTAATAATTAAATTAATATCATAAATATTGTTTTATTTTATAATTAATATTAAATAAATTATATTTGAAAATATTAATATCAGTATTTATTTATTAATTTAAAATATTATTGATACAAATTTAAATATCAATGTTTTTAAATATATTATTAATTTGATTTAACATATATATTTTAATTTTATTACCTTAATTACTAATATTATATTGAATAAATAAAATTATTTTTATCCGCATTATGAAATAGTAATTTAAAATATTAAATCATTAATTAAAAACAATTATTAATAAATATATAATATTGTTAATTCATTTAAATATAAATATTCTTATCCAGTGTCAGTAAACGTGAGACAGCATTATTCTAATCCAATCATACTCTATTCTCAATCCAATCCTATGGCAAAGCCTAATGCAATTTGATCTAATCTTGTCTCCCAAACGCAACCTTTGTTTAAATCCTCATGATTACACAATCAATTTTTTTGGGGGGGAAGAAGAATGAACTAATTTAAATGAATACAAACACTTTGCCGCAAACTTAACATCAGCCTCTGTAACATAGTGGTTAATGTAGTCGCCTTTTAAGCGAAAAGTCGTGAGTTCGAATCTCACCAGGGGCATCATAAATTCTTTTTTCTGTTTTTGAAACCCTATTTACTTTAATCTGTTTGAAGGACAGTTTTTGGAAAACTTCGTATTGAGCAGTGTGTCCAATATGGTCCCAATATGTTTTAAGTTTACTCCATCAGAGGCTACACATAGTCTCAACCATGCCCAATTTGACTAAAAAGAGTCCATGGCCACAACCACAAAACAACAAAACAAATAGTTATATAGCTATGGAGAGTTATTGCTCTCCGATAAGAGATTAGTTGGACTGCCTCCAACGCAAATTTGACTTCAAATCAAATACTCAAATACAAAACGCAGATCACTTTATATTTTAGTGCACATTATTGTCACTAAAACATGTTTGTTTTAGTGACAAACATGTTTTAGTGACACTAATGTGCACTAAAATACACTACCCTATTCTTATTTTTTCCAAAATACACATTTAATTTTCTATTCTGAAAATCTTATTTTATTTTATTTAATTATTTTAAAACCTCTAGGTTTGTTAATTTAACCAAACATAAAAAAAAAAGTTTAAAAATTAATAAAAACACCTCCACTCACCCACATTTGCCAGATTCTGGCCACCACCACCACCAACAGGTGACCAAAATCTGGTATAATAGCACATTACCGACTAGATCTGACTAGTAGTACGCTGATCTAGCATTTTTCAGCCAAATCTACTGTAGATCTGGTTAGAAAAGACCAAATATATAACCAAGAATCTGACTGTTGACGGCCAGATCCACGATGGATCTGACTGAAAAATGTCATATCAACACACAAACGATCAAATCTAATCGATCGTACGTTATTACGATGACTCCGACCACCCTCTGACAGTGATTGACGACTATCGGTATTTAATGGATAAGTAAGAATGTTTTTGTTAATTTTTAATGTTTTATTACAGAAGTGCTTAGTAAATTAACAAACCTAAAAATGTATTTTTATTAATTTTCAAATCTCAACTCCTAATCACCAAATTTTTACTTTTTCAAAAATCCTATAAATCCTATCCAAAATACCCTTATCATCTAAAGCAAATGGGTCACTCTTACAACTGTTTGATGAAATGCCTGAAGCATCGCAACGTCAGAGTCACACTCACCACAGTGCAAACACCCAAGGAAATTGCTGTGAAAGTCCACTGGATTTCCAGGTTCCTTCACATTCAAATTCAATTCAAAAGATGGGCAACAAGATTGCACTTTGTGGGCTCCAATCATACACCATATCCATCAACATCCAATCAAACTTTAAAGGATTTGTAAATTGGTTTTGTTATAGAACAGAACATAACAATCCCTAATTGGCCCCCAAATTTAGGAATTCAACATTCATATAATAGAGAGAAAGTTAGAACTGGGAATGACCAAAGGCATTGTTTAGCTCAAGCCTGCAATCTTTTATTCCTAAACCATTGTATTACAAACAATCTGCAGAACCATGCTTTACACTAATAGGATTATCTTATATAACATCATCAAAGATTCAAGACATCATTACATTAATAAAGCTCTGAAAGGATAATGCCACATTTACAATGTTAATATATCAAGATATCGTATTAAATTTAGGATCCCAAATTCCCAACTGATTTGGCACAAATTATACTACTTATCTCATCAACCCAAGGATCCAAAATTCCCAACTGATTTGGCACAAATCATACTACTTATCTCATCAACCCATATAAAAGGCATTGCCAAAGAACAATTCTTCCGTGCACCGATGCACGGTACAACCTTCCTAAGAGGGAGTATGTGTCATACACTCGCCGATTCGACACACCCTCATTGGACGGTTATACGTACATCGGATGCATGGACGTTGCGAAATCAAATGTCACAACAGTTGGGAATTTAGTTTCTAAAAATGCAACCTTCAATCAAGGAGTTTAGGATAATGTAAGTAACAGAGATTTCATTTCATGTATATATATTTTTAAGAAAATCCAAAGAACAATATTCAATGTCAGTAGATGATGCAAACAAGTGGCAACCGTAATAACAGAATTGAACACAAAAATACAAAAAATCAGCAGAAAAATAGGAAAATTCTAAATTTAATTTCAGATAAATAAGGATCTTATATCAATAACAAACCCTAACCCATCATAATATTTCTATTAACAACAACAAGAAGACTCATCATCATCATCATCATCATATATTAAATTTTTTTAAGACATCATGCCATCATCATCATCATCATCATACTCAGAATTAAGACCATTTCATCTTAATCTCTCTCTTTTTTTTTTTTTTTTTTTGCACTCCATTTTTTTTTCCGCATAATAGAGAAAAAGAAATACAAAAAAATAATAATAATAATAATAGAGATCAGACAAACACCACCATCAGAGACATAAAGCGGTGCACTGCAGATCGTCACCGTTGAAATCAACATCATCCAACGGTGGATAGTTTAGATCAAATGGCAACGGCTTCCTGCACGAAGACAGCGCAATATCTCCATCATCGTCAATCACCGATGAAGACGAATCACAGTCGCTATGACAATCCTCCGGCACCACGGGCGGCGTCCGTGGATATCTCCGTGAACTTGCCGCCGCTGTCAGATTCGTCGATCTCGACTGCTGCGGTGGCCGTGGTCCACTAAACGACTCGACAGTACTGCTCATACTGCTTGTCGTCGGTCTCTGCGGATTTACAATCTGCTGATCCTGAAAATCTTGGAATCCATTTACGGTGCCGTATAATCTCTGATCCAAAAACGGATCATTGCTAGGATAAAATGAAGGTATGTTTGTTGACGTAATCGGAAAGTTTGTCTTGGCTTTAGGTCCACGGAGAGTACGCGCCGCCGCATCATAGGCACGTGCAGCGTCCTCAGCGGAGTCGAAGGTACCGAGCCAGACACGTGTCTTCTTCCACGGGTCTCTGATCTCGGCGGCGAATCTTCCCCATGGTCTCTTGCGAACTCCTCTATATCTGGGCTCTTTCGTCACGTTTCTTGACGCAGATCCATTAGCTTCTATCAGTTTACTTGCGGGCGCTGCTGCTGCTGTCACTACTCCTCTCCCTCTCCTCATAGGTGAAAACACCTTCAAATCCACACCAACAAAATAAGATATCAGATATCAAGATTATATATATTCGTGATATATTTGTTTGTGGTATAATATTTGGATCGATGAATATGATATTTGAGTTTCTGGAGGAGAAGGGAGAGATGAGTTGGGTGTTTGTAAAGAGATGAAGAGAAGAGAGGTGGAAGGGGAGGAAGAAAGGAAGGATAGGTGGGTGAGGTGGGAACTGGATGGAACAAGCAGGCAGGCACCTTCTCTTCTACACAAAAATGATTTTTTTTTTTAATTTTGATTTTTTTAATTTAAATTTTTATTGATTTATTTGCTTTTGGGTTTCTCTGGCTGAAATGGCTTTTCTTTTTTCTTTTTTTTTTTCTTTCTTTTCCTTTCTCGATTTCTCTCGCCCCCACAAGCCGACCCGGACTCACTCGATTTCTTCCTTCTTTTTTCCATTTTGATTTTGTGTTGTTGACTATTATCCTCTGAGCAAAATTACTCAAACTGACCTTGCCTTTCTTCTTTATGTCAACTGCTGTACACAGCCAGCCTCTTTCGTTATCTCTGCTTTATTCCCTTTTTTTTTTTAATAAAAAAATTATTGTCTTTAAATATCTCTTATTTTTATTTTTATTTTTTTTAGTTTTCCTCCTTTTTATTAAATGAGTAAAAATATGATGTTGAATTTAGATGTGACTTCACTAATTTTTAGACACTTTTTATTGCTACCAATCTGTTTTTTCAAATCAATGTTTTATCTTTTTATTCTTTTAATAAAATAAAAAAATGGGTAAAGACATTTGGCCCCTCATTTTGTTTGCTAATTTGTTGGCAAACTCAATCTTTTTCTTTTTCTATTTTTTCCTCTTTCCCTTCTCTCACTCATTTTCTTGGATTCTCAAATGGGATGTTCAAAAAAGTACTAATTTTTATTCATAATATTAGTTGAAATTTTAAAAAAAATAAAAAAAAAATTGCAAAAGATATGGAAAAATACCCACTTTAGTATATGATTTACATTTTAATATTGACTTTGATTACACCATCAAAGAAAAACAAATTTCTTGGAGCAATCTACACTTTCTATGTTAAATCCTTTCTTTTTTTGAGATATTCAATATTGGATCTTGGAAATAATCTACCTTTTAAATCACAATTGATTCAATAATTAAAAAAAAATAATAATAATAATGGCAATGAATTATAGTGAATTATTGTAACATTTATTGCCATGATTATTCATCAATGACTATAACTATTATAACGCATGGGATGGTCATTTTTTTCTTTCACTTTTACTTAAACCCCAAAAAGAAAAAATCATTAAAACTGTAATTTCAAATTTATTATTTCAATCTAATTATTTTTAAATAACCATTTTGTTTTTGAATTGTAGACAGCATTTAAAACAAAGTGGGTGAATAATTCAAAGAGAAAATAAATTAATAAGAGAGAGAGTTTAGCTAAAATGGGTGATTGGAGGACCACAAGAATGTGGCGTGGCGTCCAATTGGGTAGAAAATGAAGGATAGGAAAGGAGAGTTAGCTCAATTGTACCTTTCAATTTCAGAGAAGAAGTAATTGCTCATTTTAGGTCACAAAATATTCATAATAATAAAATTAAATTACTAATTCAAGAGTTAAAAGTAAAATATAAAAAATAAATTATAAATTATAAATGTTTATAATAATACATACCCATTAGACTTTTTCAACAAAATTTATATTTGAGATAGAAAATAAATTCTCTAAAAATTGACAAATACTGGGGGAAGTAGACACCACGTAAGTTGAGATTGTGGGATATTGGATATGCTTTCCCATTGTTCTCCACAAACAACAAATTTATAATATTATAATACATACCCACTTGCTAAATCCTAAATCTAATAAAAATTAAAATTGAATTGAAGCTTTTTAGGGTTCTTCTTGGATTTGATTTTCGTTTCTTCCTCTTAATTTTGTCATAAAATACCAACCTATTGGTATAACCACCCTCCATCATGCCTCATAATTTACTCACTTTCCGCAGAGCAAAAATCCAATTATTTGATTCAAACAAAAGAAAGAAAAAAAATTTATGATTTAACCCACTACACAGCTGTCTCATACCTAGCAAATTTGTTCATCAACCATATTATTAACTTTGCTATTAAAATAAAATCAAAACATTCTTAAGACCAACCATAATTATGATTAGAACTTAAACCATCTTGGAATAAAAAATTATTTAAAAAAGAAAAGGGGGACTTTGAGTCTAAGACAACATTATAACGATGAGAAATATGAACTGGAATTGGGGTTGGGAAGATTATGATTTATGACCCAAGATAATTAAGTGGCACCTTACTTTTAAGTACGTGACAAAAAAAAAAAAAAAAAAAAAATTAATCACCTAATCCCACGATTATGTCTTAACCCAAAACCACAAAGGCATTAAATTCCTGTAATGAATGTGTACAAATTTTAGGTCTCTTATGTGTCACATTCAATTCACCAAAACCCAATTTGGAAGTGAGAAGAAGAAGAAGAAGTATTCAAGGTCAACTTTTCCTATTGCCTTTCCAACATTCAAAGTTTGGTTATAGTCTACTACCGATTTGTGAGTAAGCCTACAATCATATAATATAATATATATATTTGTTTTTTATGTAAATATTAATAAGATGGTATTATTCAACCTCTAAGGGCCGATTGGTTGAGGGTTATCTTGCATTGCTCAAATAATTTCATTTTATATTACTAATATTATCGTGTTTGATTGTGAAGTAATATAAGATTATAGTAATCCTTCAATACCAGCTGTAATTACTGTTGGTTATATAAGTAGTAATCTGAATACTATTTTTTTTTTAGGTATTATGAGATTACTTAGTAATCTTATTTTGTTAAAATTTTACTATTTATTAATTAAATTTTAGGATAATAATACTCTTGTTATCTAAACAATTTACAAGAATGTTCATGGACAATTTTAGCCTCGTTTTAATATTTTTAAGACATTATTACCCTTGTACTTCAACCAAATTACCTAAGACCACACATAGTAATACAAATACAACATTCCCTAAACTAAAAAAACCTTTAATGGTATTATAAAAAATGATATTAAAAAATGTTAAATATTCAAGAATAATGATTTAAGGGGGTGTTTGGTTGGGGGTTATATAAGATTAATAGGGTTATGTCATTTTTTTATGACCATGTTTAGTCGTCAAGTAATATAAGATTTCGGTAATCATAAAATACGAATAGTAGTTACTATTGATAATATTGGAGGTAATTTGATTACCTTTATTTTCTTAGGTATTGTAAGATTATGAAGATAATCTTTTTTTAGTTACAATTGTATCCCTTATTAATAAAATTTTAGGATAATAATACCCTTATTTTTAAATTAATTTACATGAATATGACTTTCACTATTTCACCACAATTAATTAACTTTTTGGATAAAATTACCCTTGAATTCAAAACAAATTACAACTCACCCAAACTTTCACCCCCACCCACCTATCGCCGCCAGAACAGGCACACAGAAGGTTGGAAATGGACGTTGTGTGCCAATATGGTTGAAAAACGGCCAGACGATATATGGCCAGAAATGACCAAATTAGATTTGGTCGTTTTCCAGCTAGATCTATCACGATCTGGCCATTTCCGGCAAGATCTCTGGCCCGAAATGGTCATATGGCATACAAAGACCATTTCCTGCCTTATGTGCATCGTTAGGTTGTCGGTTGCCGACGGTGATTGCCGGCTACCGGTAGTAACTGGGTTGGTGGGGGTGCATTGTTGATTTTCCAAACCTTTATTATGGGGTTGTTTTTGCTAAGTTTTTAAATGTAGGGGGTTATTATAGTCCAAATAATAATATTTAATTAGAGGACAATTCAGTAATTTAAATAACATACCCCCAATTTATTCCTCCCAACCAACCATATTAATAAAACATACCCACCAATTCATTCCAACTAAGCAAATATATTTTCCTAAAGATTTTTAATAATCTTCGAGGTAATTTAATTTTCCAGTAATCTAACATTCCTTGAACCAAACATACCCTAAGGATAATTATAATTAAATAGTAAAAATATATTAAATTATGGGTGTACCAAATATTTGGTATAATATTTAATAATTAATAATTATGTACAGAAGAAAAGAGGACACAAATGCCACAAATCAAATTCCACGTACCCCTGAAAACATGCCCAGATCTCCTTCACCGTGCTGGGCGGGCCACCACCTCACCAGAAACTCACTGAGCCCATCAATACCCGACCCCACTTACACCTCTCAAATTCTTCTTTTAATTCTCTTCTAAATTATTTTCACCTATTAAAGTCAATGATTTTTATTTAATTATTTAAATTACTAAAATTTAAAACTTCAAAATATTAATATGTGAGAAAATGCATTAAATTTTTATCTTGTAAATAAGTGCGTCGATATTATTGATATTTTAAATAAATTAAATCAAACTTTTTAGAAAAATAAAAATCTTATTCCATGTACAATTTTGATTAATAATATGCAATAATTTTGTACTTTTCATTTAGGTATCTTTCATTATATATCTATTAATTGAGAAATAAACAAAAAACTCTAATAAAAAGGTAAAAAAGAATTAGATATTTGAAATTCGTTAAATCAATTGGAATTTAAATTTTTTGAGTTAAGAGCTAAATTTAAAACTATTATTACTAAAAATAGAATAAAATAATACATCAACAAAAATATCCATAATTTATATATATACCTAGAGTTTCAAACCATCAAAAAAATATTTATTTTATTTATTAATTAAAAACCTAATCCCTTAGAAGTTAGAATTTCAATATTCAAATAAAACCCACTCCCTCTCGCCTCTCTTAAAACGTGCAGGTGGACCCCACACAAAAGGACACGTGATCAACCTGGCATCCCCCAGACCCAAAGCTGCTGGTGTGTGTGCGTGCTTGCTGTGATGAAAATCCAAAAGGATTTTTCAAATTTTTTTTTTTTTTACTGGCCGTAGCAGGTTATCCGGTCGCCTCTAACCAGCTCTGGGTGAGTCGACAAGATGCAGGATCTATGGCGGGTGAGTCTGAACCTTCTCGTGACTCGTGATCACGCTAACCGACAGCTGTGCTGCCTTTGAGACGGCGTCAGTTTATGAGAAAGTGACAAGTGTTCATCTTTGATATGGTTGGTCCGTCATTTATAATATTTTAAAATCAGATTTGACCAGTTTGGTTTTCCTTTTTTGGGATAAATATGAAAGCGAACTCTCCGCGTTTCTTCAAGTTTAATTAAAAATACGTGTAAATTTGTCTCGTCCCAAACCTATTTTGCAAATTCTTTTATTATGAAATTTCCTATGTAATAAAATAAAATTAAAATTTGTACCCTTAAATATTGAAAATTGATTAATCATGGTTAAATATCTAACGGTTAATTAGAATTCTAGAATGTATTACTTTAAAAGTTCTAAATTTAATTCATTAAATTTTTAATAAGAGTAATTACTAAAGGGATTTATTTGGTTGTTAACTTTAAAACTTCGAGAGATTGATTGAGATACGTACAAGTTAACCCAATCATTATCGATGAAAAAAAAATCGAAAATCAATTCTAAAAATAATATTAATAAGATCTTTAAACTATATTTTATGTAATAAGATATAATTTTTCTTTAACCAAATGGAAGTAAATAATAAATATAGTTAAATTAGTATTAATATTTTAAAAAATATACCCTTTTTTTTATTGTGGAGTAAAATACATTAATGTAAAAAATAACACGAAATTTTGTGTAGTAAATAAGGGTGGGGTCGGGTCATTAAATCTGAAGGGGTTTTGTTAGAGTCCGGTGAGAGTCAGGACAAGCTGATAGTGTAACCAGTAAGGCCATGCCATGTCACCATCAGAACAGTCAGCGTAACCCTAACTTTCCTTTTGTATTTATTTATCGAAGAACAATTGAGAGAGAAGGTAAGAGTTCTGTGTGAACGGTATTTAATATTTATTATTGAAAATAATTAAGAGGCAATAAAAGAAAAAAAAAAATTATATACTGGTGAGAACCGGGACGGGCGGCAACAATTGAGTGCGCACTGCGAAGGTGCCAAAAATATCTTCAATCAAGTTGGGTAATTAAGTTTGACGTTTCTTCAAGAATACGCCTTGGTGCGCGTAACGCAGAAACGCACCACCATCGCCACGACGCCATCTCCACCTCCACCACCAACTACTCTTTTCTTTCTTTTTATTTCGACATAGACCACACGTTTCGTTTTTGTAACATTGCTTGCCCACCACCTGTTTGTTTTATTGTTTAAATCGAGAGGCAAAAGTGATTAATCAAATCGCGTGTTTACGCAACACGAATTGATGCAATAATGCCCACTCTTTGTCAGCCCGGATGGAGAAACAACGTTACGACACGTCGTTTCGTATGTGTGTGCCATGGAATTGGAATATGAATGGAATCGAGTATCAAAACTGGAGGGTATTTTTTTTTTTTTTTTTTAAAACGAGAGTGATGAGACAGGAGGGCATTATTGCCATAATGGAGAAATGGTCCCCGTCACGTTAATTTTGGATGTTTCTTTACATGGTTGTGTCACAGGAGTCCACGACATTCGTTGGTTAAACTAACGGACCAATGATCGTTTGTAACGGACGTGATAAGGTGTCACGTTATTAGGTGGCGAAAATGTCGCAACCTAGCCTTAAGATTTTAGTTTATTACGGTGGGTACATAAAATCACTTAATAAGTAGGTATTTTAGGTGTGTAACAAACGCCCAATAATAGATATGTAGGTGATTTGTTATTATAAAATACAGAGTAAACGACTTTTTTTTTTTTAACCCAAATAATAATTTAATGACATATTTTTATCCATAAATTTTAAAAATATTACTTTATTATCCAAATTTATATTTAATTTCCGATTCCAACATTGTTACGACCCCATATCACTATCATTTTTTTCTCTGGTCATCACTCATCAAAATCTATCAAATCTTACTTTTATCGACTTTGTCAATCTCCGGCAATCGAGTGATTAAGGTTTTGGTAACCGCCCCTCCCACAGTCAAAATCTAATCAATCTCAATCACCAAAATTCAACCGTATACAATCAAAAGACGCATTAGTCTCCCCCTTCAAAAGCCCCTATTGTCTAGTCCGAATTTGCTCTCTATTCGTGATCGGAATATAAATTTAGATAATCAAATAGTATTTTAAAAGCCTGTGAATAAGAAAATATTGTTAAGCTGTTATTTGACTAGAAAAAATCTTTAGCTCATATTAAGGTTTTAATCCTCTTTTTCTACTTTCATGAGGGCATTAAAGGTTGGACGAAGATTCTATTTTCGAATTTGAGGCTCCATTTTCAATTTCTTTCTTGGAATATCGAGATCCAAACATACAACAAAGACACCGATATAAAATTAAAATGTAAAGATCCACACTTGAATCCTTATCCCCTCCCCCTAATAATGTTGATAGGGAGTAATTATCTTGAATCCCGATCAGCCGTTGGATTAAAATCTAAGGGTTACTAAGCCTCCATTAAAATTATTAGCTTGATAAAGAAGAACCCACCACAAAATTATTAGAGAAATGCTACAGTTATCGACGGATGTGCACCGAATTTGTATACTTAATGACGTGACAAAATCCTAACCGTTGATTTATTATCAGTTAATATTAATCAATGATCAGGATTTTGTTACGTTATTCGGTGCACAAATTCAGTGTAAACTTTTTCGTAACTCTATCATTTTCTAAATTATTAAGTGTTAATATTTATTTGAATAAAATATTAGTGTTATAGCATATCCCTTGACATAATGCTAGGTCAGACATTGGGAATCGTTATCCACATTACTCTGCATTTCTTTGATTTTCATAAACTTTTGATAAACAGAAATAGCCCATGGGCCCTATTTTTGGGCTTTTAGAAAATTAAAATGGGCCTTAATAGATATGAAATCAGCCCACCAAAGATTGTATTGGGCTTCACGGGCTCAAATTATTGTGGATTTAAGGACTAAGTCTTTGTTGAACAATTGGAAAAGGGAGAACGACTTATACATACCCAATATTTTTCGAAACGATAAATTGATACCCAAAAGGTTTTAAAATGACAAATGGATACCTTCCGTCATGTTCTGTTAGTGATTTTGGTTAGATAATAGTGAAAAGACTAAAATACCCTTGAAAGTTTAATTTTTAGTTTTTTATAAATTTAAAAATTTCTAAAAAAACCCCTAGGTTTGCTAATTTGACTAAACACCCCAATATATAAAAATAACAAAAACACCCCCGCCACCCCTGCAGTGCCAGATTCCGGCCACCACCGCGGGAATCTGGCCGAAAAATTGTGTTACGACACAGACCCGTTGGATCTGTGTCGTAACACATCGATCTGGCCTTTTTCGGCCTCGACGGCCAGATCTGGCCTTTTCCGGCCAGATCATCCACGGATCTGGCCGAAAAACGCCAGATCGACATGTTACGACACAGATCCGATGGGTCTGTGTCGTAACACAATTTTCCGGCAAGTTTTCGGTCTCGACGGCCAGATCTGGCCGTAGATCTGGTCTTTTCCGGCCAGATCAGCCACGGATCTTGTCGGAAAATGAAAGATCTAAGCGTTACGACACAGATCCGATGGGTCTGTGTCGTAACGCATTTTTTCGGCCAGATTCCGGCGGTGGTGGCCGGATCTGGCACTGCGAGGGTGGCGGGGGTGTTTTGTTATTTTATAAATTTTTATATTGGGGTGTTTAGTCAAATTAGCAAACCTATGGGGTTTTTTAGAAATTTTTAAATTTATAAAAAACTAAAAATTAAACTTTCAAGGGTATTTTAGTCTTTTTACTATTATCTAACCAAAATCACTAACAGAACATGACAAGGGTATCCATTTATCGTTTTCAAAACCTTTTGGATATCAACTTATCATTCAACAAACCTTGAGTATGCATAAGTCGTTCGGCCATTGGAAATCCTAATCCTGGATTTGAATTAAATTATTCAATTTTAAAATAAAAATTATTAAATTTGTATAAAAATTAACAAAACAAACGGCAACGGGTTTTATTCTAACATATAAACGAATCAAATGATTTGATAGATCCCATTTGGATCACCTCAAAGTTTATGCTGCTCTGAATCGGGACAAGTTTCTGAACGGCATGTCGTACAACTCCGTGTTTATCAGGGTAAAGCAATCCATAGTTCCTCTCTGAACGGAGACCAGGTTTCTGATTCTCATTAAACAAAGCGAAGATGTAAACTGTAATGGAATCTTGAGGTCTTTTCGGGGTGCCAACGCCGCCCTTGAATCTCTTCCACAAATTTCCATTAAACGCCGCCGCATTCTTCTTGTTGGCCCCAATCTCTTTCTTGCCCCCGGCGGAAGGCCACCCGCTTTCCGTAACAACCAGCTTCACATCATTGAATCCGATGGCTGCTAGGGCGGCGTACGTTGCGTCGATCTGTGCCTCGATCATGTTAGGATATTTTATTTGGGAGACATTATCAAAAACTCCGTCGTTGGGGTTCATCAATGCGTAGTCCAAGTTGATTTCTTTGGGGTTGGCCTTGTATGCGAAAAACGGGTACAAGTTAATCGAAAAGTATGACCCAGATTTTCTGATTAGATCCAACATGGGTTTGAGCACGGTTTCGATGAGTTCTGGTTTGAACTTGCCCGCGGATGGCGGGTAAGAGGCGTTAAAACAACTTGAAGAGACGGGAGAGGAAACTTTGACTGTTGAGTCGAGTTTGGATTTAACCAATGCGTCGTAAACGTTCTTCATTGCCTCGACGAGAAACGGCAACGTTTTTGGATCGTCGATGATTTCGTTACCGACGGCGATGCCTTCGATTTTGGTTTTGGGGAGATTTTTAACGATGTTGTCGGAGACCCATTTGTCAACGAATCGTTGGTCGCGGGAGGCTTGCTGGAGGAGCTCGTTGCGCATGCAGACGATGAGGCTGATGCCGGAGGAGGCGAAGGCCTTGAGGACTTGGCGGTCGACATCGTAGATTTTGACTTTGTTGATGCCTTTGGATTTGAGGAGCTGCACGACTTCCTCTGGCGGTGGTAAGTTATTGGCGATTCTACCATAGTTTACTCCGACGTCGGATAAGGCCAGCGTTAGGAGAAGTAAAAGGAAATAGGAGAATGTAATGATCGCCATGGTCATGATCAAGAAAAAAAGGAGAAGAGAACAGTAACTGTTTTTGTTGAGGGATGAAATGGTGGATTTATGGAGGGAAAATTTAGTGTTAATTTAAGTAAAGCCCTACTTTTAATGGATATTTGTGGGTTAAACATGGTTTAATTAAGGTAATTTTGGATAATTAATGGTGGTAATTAATATGAAAAAGTCAAAATCTATATTCAATTTTTTCATAAGTCTTTTAGCCGAAATACTGGGTAATTAAATTTCGCGCCAAAATTATTAAGATTATTCTATATTTAGTTTAGGGAATATTTCGTTTTAATATATGATCACAACAAATTAGACATATAATTTTTATTTTAAGGTATAGGATATTCTATTTGTTTTGATTCCTTATGTGCAGGATTCTTGTATATTTTATTAATTAGTTTATAATTTTTTTGTTAGTATTACGAATATAAGATTACCTATGATAATTATAGAGGATACAAAATTTAATAAATTAAACCTGTTCATTAATTTTGTTGTATTTTTGTTATTTTGTGTTACTCATCAACCCCTTGTGAGAATTTAAGAGCTGGGCAAAAAGCCTGGCCCCAGGATCAACATAGGCCCTGGGGAGGGTGATTGGGCCCAGGCCGATCCCTCCTCCACGGCCCGGACCCAGGCCCAGGCTTGGGCTTGGTTAATTTTGGAATACTCCTTACAAATAGCCAAAAACCCTTGGTAAATAACCAAAACCCTCTTATAATATATGAAATACATAATAAATTTTAGAATACTTTTAATAAATTAAAAAAAACCCTTCATATAATTATTATTACCCTAAAATATGTAAAAAATTAGCGGTCTAAATGTATATTTACCAGGCCTGCATAGGATCGGTCCTGGTCGAACCTAGAATTGGTTCGATCCCTCACAAAAATAACGGGCCTAGGACCAATCCCAACCAATTTGGGCTCAGTCATTGAGGACTCGGGGACCCAACTTTGCTTTAGAAAATAGAAAAGAAATTAAAGAGAAAATATATTCGACAGAAAATCGTTGAAAAATCTATTGGAACTAAATTAGATTAATAAGATTTACAGCACCTTATTGGGGTTCCAACAAGGCAAAAGACATGTATTATTCTTATATAAATTTTTTCCCATCTCCTTCTGGATTCTCGTTTGGCAGGAAGAAACGTTCGAGAAAGCTGGAAAAAAAAATCTAAATCATATTATATGTTTTTCATTCATGATCAAAGCCCCTCCATATTCAATTGATTTATTTATTTTTAAACCTATTAAAATCCCACTTGTACAATTATTAAACCATTAAATTAATTAGAGTGTTTAATTGTTAATAGTAAACCTTTAAAATAATCCATAGAGCCAAGAAGAGAAGACAAAAAGAAACAATATAATAAATGACATTAATATATATATAAATGTAAGTAAAATTGTACATTACTATTTTACTATCTATTAAAGAAAGAATTATAATCGTAATCCGTAAAATAAACACGAATAAGGCTCAATATCCTGTTGGGTACTCGCAATTCCCACCAAATCCTGCAATATTAAAATAAAAAATTAATTAGAAATTAATATTTTTTATTAATTAATTAATTAAAAAAATAAATGTGGGACGTTTGATATTGTACTACTACTTACCAGGATGTTCATTCACCATGCGGGCGGTTCCACCAAAATTACACGATCCAGCTTTACGACCCTGCTTCTGGTAATAGCTGTTGAAGGCGTATGATGCATGCGCCTCCAACGTATTGGGATCGTAACACGTGGCACCTTCTTGAATCGGACGGCAATCAGCCCCTCCTTCTCCGCATGCGTAATCTAGTCCGTTTTGTAGCTTGCTCACCTCCACGTTAGCATTTGCCACACACCAACTCTGCCCCTGGGTGGAGGTTGGGGTCGAGGTCGGAGTTGGGGTCACGTCCGGACCCGTTGAATTCGTTGTCACTCTGGGATTTGGGCTACTCGCCGGACTCGGCACCTGATCGCGAATCGTTGTTGAATTACCAGATTGGCCTTGCCCTTGTGTAAACGGCATGTCGTATACTTGCTCTTGGGTGGGATAAAACAGACCGTAGTTCCTTTCCGAAGTGGGACCCGGTTTGAGATTTTCGTTAAACAAAGCAAACAAATAAACGTTGAGTGGGTCCTTTGGTCTTACAGGGGTCCCCCTGCCGGACTGAACTGTGACCATTAGATTTCCGTTGTACGCCGCCGCATTCTCCTTGCTCGCGCCAATCTCATTCTCGTCGCCGAGCGAAGGCCACCCCGTTTCAGACACGGTCAACTTCACGTCATTGAAACCGATTGCTGACATGGCAGCGTAAACTGCGTCCACTTGGGCTTCCAACATGTTGGAATATTTCAACCCGTTACCGGAATCCACCACACCCGGGTTGGTTTTAAACAAAGCATAGTCTAAAGATATATCTTTTGAGTTCGCTGAGTAAGCGAAAAAGGGGTAAATATTAACCATAACATATGACCCTGATTTACGTAACAATTCCAACATGGGTTTCACAACCGAGACCAATTCGGGTTTGAAAATACCCGCAGAAGCCGGGTACGAGTTATTCAACGCGCTTAAAGCTATGGGAGAAGACACTTTAATAGCAGAATCAAGCTTATACTTAACCAAAGAGTTGTAAATTTTTGTCATAGCGGGTACGAGAAATGGCGTATTCTTCTGGTCGACGAACACCTCATTACCTACAGCAATGGCTTCGATTTTGGTGGCGGGGTAGTATTTTGTGATGTTGGCTTGAACCCAGTTGTCGGCAAATGATTGATCGTTCGCGGCGTTGGAGAGAACCTCGTTGGGAAGTGTGACGACGAGGCTTATGCCGGAGTTGGCGAATGCAGTGAGTACGGCTGAGTCAGTATCGTAGAGCTTAACTTTGATTATGCCTTTTGACTTCAAAAGCTCCACCACTTTCGGCGGCGTCGGTAAATTGTTCGCTACTCTTCCGTAGTTTATTCCCACAAAGCCAGTATCTGCAAAATGAAAAAACAAAATTTAAAAAAAAAAAAAAAAAAAAAGACCTTTTTTCATGCAAATTAATGAAGAAAGTTACAGTTACGTACCAGCGAAAGCGAAGGTTGAGAGAAGCAAGAAGAAGAAGGAGAACGTTAGGGTCACCATCGCCATTGCCATTAGCTCTGGTTTCAAAGAGATTTAATTGAATTTTTTGATTTTGTTGTTGAATACTTGAATTTATAGAGAAATTTTCGTGGATTGATGTGAGAGTGGGGTAAGTGGGAGAGAAATGGAGAGGATGGTGGGAGGGCCCACGTGACAGAATAACTGGAAATTGCAAGAGTTAATGTCGGAGATTTCAATGGGTTAAAATATACAGTGTGGTTCGAGCCGTTGACGTGGCTCGATCAATGGGGGTTTGTTCCATCAACGGTTGGTTGCCTAATTGGGGTTTTAGATTAATTACGATAATGATTATTTAGGTGAAATTGGAATTTGAACGTTGGGTTGGCCTGGACCCGAAAAACAAAAAACAAATGACCGTTGGGGCTGGATTAGCCAGCTTCCCTCTTTTGATTGCTTTTAATTATTATTAGATGCTAAATAGTTAAATTAGTTGGCCAATTTTGTTGTATTTTTTTATTATTTATGGTAGTAATTAGTATCAAAAGTCAAATCTACGATAATTTAGAAAAATTACATTATTTCAAGAATTATCTTCATAAATTAAGCTTTTGTCAATGAGCAGTTGTAACTAATAATATGATAGGGTGATGAATATTTACTTAATTTTTTTTTTTTTATAGTTTATTTAAGAGTAAACCGCTTTTTCCCACCCACGGTTTGCCTTAATGACATTTTTCCACCCAAAAAATTTTAAAATACCACTTTTTCACCCAAAGTTTATATTATGTTAATACTCAAAATACACTTCACTTTTTCAACCGGCGTTCGGTGAGTTACTAAAAGTCAGGGTGAGAGGGGTTTTGTAGAGTGAAGACTGGTGAATTGAATGTTGGTAATCGATTGAATATTAGCTACCGAAAATTAGTTAAGAATCTTAGAGTGAAGGCTGATGAATTAAATGGTGGTGATCGATTGAATATTCATTGCTAAAAATCAGTTAAGATTAGAAAATCCTAACTTTGCGGTGGATAACAATCAGCAAAAAATCAGATGCCGGAGTAAGACATGTATTGTAGAGGGGAAACTAGAGGTTCAAATCGTGGTGACGAAAAAAAATTTCACTGTCAGAATCGGCTTTAGGTATTAACAAAATGTTAACTTTGGGTGAAAAAGTGGTATTTTAAATTTTTTTTTGGGTGGAAAAATGTCATTAAGGCAACTCTTGCGTGAGAAAAAGTTGTCTACTTTTTATTTTAACGCTAAAATCTTAACAGTGGATGAAACTTTTGTTATTTAATTATAATTAGAGTATTATGTTTATTAATCCTAGAGTAATGCTACATTTATACTATCCTTTACACCATTTTTATTACATCATGACAATTTTACTAATAATAATTCTATTATAATATTAAAAATTAAAAATTTGTATGGTTATGACATATATCATATCATGATGTAATGAAAATGATGTGAATGAAAATGATATGATCCTTATAATTAAATGTAATTTATTTTATTTTATTTAATTTATGGTAAGGTTCACACAAGAACCCTTAGCAACGAAGTATAAACCAAAATTTGTTGACAAATTTGTGTGCGTATTAATGAAGGGAACAAATTCAATATAATCGTCTTATACTTTCAATACGACATGATTTGTGTTTGTCCTTTTTCGAAACATAAACGTTGAGAAAAGTATTAATAATAATATGAGAGGGATTTAATTAATAAATTAATTGATTAAGATTATGACATGAACAAGATGCTATTGTCGTTATCGACTGTTACAAGCAAAGCTTTCCCTTGTACGATTGGTCTGTCGTAAACGATATTGCGTTTGCATGCATGTCTGAACCCTTATTGGGTTCAAGACTCTTGAGTTCAGCTTGAGATTTTAATAGTGTGGTGGAGAAATAAGAGGAATCAATGGCATCATCGTGGATCAACCATTCAACAACTTCGACAGCTGCTTTGAAGTTTTGAGTGTCGGTCTGTTTAATTAAGTTTCTCAAAGTCAGCATGTTTTTTCATGTTTGTTTTTCGATTTTGACGTTTTATCTGTTATTATCAGAGAATATTATGGCAATCGAGAGGGTTAGTTTATCTGTGTGTCAGTTAACCTAAATATATTACCAAATACCAACTCCATTTTATCCCTAAACAAGGCAAGGATAAGTTTTTTAATCCCTACAAGCAGGACGGATTCAGAAATTTATGTTAGGGTGGGTAAAAATCCAGAAATTATATATATTAATATTTTTTTAAAAATTTTGCGGGTGGGTCCTCAACTAGAGTAGCATCCGCCCTTGCGTACAAGTATATAACCTGGATCTCGCTTTGCAAAGTCGGATTCGAAACTAGAGCTTATAATTTTAGAAGTAAGAAATGCGAGTGTTATGAGGTGACTTAAACCCTAAACCTTGTATAAACAAACCTAAGACTTGATCGCTTAGTTATCCTAAACTATGATATATGTGAAAGCTTTCATGCTGCCCTCTCATAATAAACTATGACAAGTGGTTTTAATCAAGACGTAATGTTATGTATTTTATATTATTAGTTATTTAATTAATTGATATTCCTTTTAGTGTTTATCGAAAACAGTCAACTAACAACCTCTAGGTGGTCAAATGGTTTTAAGGGATTTTTGGGTGTATTACTCAAGAGGTTCTGAATTCGAGTCTCTTTTTGGTTGCTAATAGGGGTAATACTTACATTTCTCATAATTTTAGAAGTAAGAAATGTGAGTGTTATGAGGACACGTAAACCCTAAACCTTGTAGAAACAAACCTAAGATGTGATCGCTCAGTTAAGCTAAACTATGATAAATGTGAAAACTTTCATGCCGCCCTCTCATAATAAACTATGACAAATGGTCTTAATCAAGATGTAATGTTGCGTATTTTATATTATTAATTGATATTCCTTTTAGTGTTTATCGAAAACATTCAACTAAAAACCTCTAGGTGGTCACATGGTTTCAATAGACTTTTGGGTGTATTACTTAAGAAGTTATGAATTCGAGTTTTTTTTCGATTGCTAATAGGGGTAACACTCACATTTCTTATAATTTTAGAAGTAAGAAATGTGAGTACTATGAGGACACTTAAACCCTAAACCTTGTAGAAACAAACCTAAGACTTGTGATTGCTCAGTAAACCTAAACTATGATACATGTGAAAGCATGCGGCCCTCTCATAATAAACTATGACAAATGGTCTTAATCAAGATGTAATGTCGTGTATTTTATATTATTAATTGATATTCCTTTTAGTGTTTATCGAAAACAGCCAACTAACTACCTTTCGACGGCTAAGTGGTTCTAAAGGACTCTTAGGTGTATTACTTAAGAGGTTCTGAGGGACTCTTGAGTGTATTACTTAAGAGGTTCTGAGTTTGAATCACTCCACGATTGCTAATAGGGGTAGCCACTGAAGTTTTTACCCGATCGGTAGTTTTAGGGTCATGGGAGATTAATTGAGTCGCACGTAAGTTGGTCCGAACACCTTCGATCGTAAAAAAAAAAAAAAAAAAAAAAACCACTGGAGCTTTTACCCGACCAGTAGTTTCAGGGTCCTGGGAGATTAATTAAGGCGCACGTAAGTTGGTCTAGACACCTCCGGTCGTCAAAAAATAAAAATAAATAAATAAATAAAAAAGGAAAAAACGAACTTAAAAAAAACGTGGAAATGGGGTTGGCTTGAATTCCACTCAAAGAAAATGAGCAAGAAGTGGAACTTCTCATGAGCAGTCAAGGGTTAAGATAATATTATTAATTACGGCTTAGTTGGGAAGGACTTGGAGGTTAGAACTGTTGAAAAGGTGTACTACATTATAAAACTTCCTCTTCTTCACAAATACGTCAAATAGTAGGTAAAGTTCAGTTGAGAAATTTGAAGAAGTGGCTCAGAATTATAATAAAATTTTATTTTCTGAAATTAATTAATTTGTTCACGGGAACATGTCAATAAATCCAACTCAGTTTTGACTTCGTTGCTCAAGCGTGTTCTTTGGGCTACCTTCTCTTTGGTTATTATCATGGCCTTATCAGTCTACTTCAATATCTTCTTTTGTAATAAAGGAAGGACAATTTTTGCCTTATAATGGAAGATACTTCCTTTTCAATTTAAACTATCACTAATCTATTCTTTAATGATAAGGTACATCTCACGTGATTTTTTGGGTGAACCAGGAGGTGTTCCCGTATCTAAAGGTATGAGACTAATCCTCGTTTCGAGATTTTGATACTACCCCTGGTCACGAGATGCTTCAAATGAGATTCGAACTCCGTCATTGCAATTAAACAACAAAAAAGTGTGTGTGTGTGTGTGTTTTTTTTTAATTTTTTTATTCTATAGACAAGTTTAACCAAACAAGGATTAACACAAGAAAATTAGAAGATGAACAAATATCACCCATAAAAGACAGGTGGGCGGGCGGCTAACTATTTTAGTCCCATTATGCAATTTGGAGGATTATTTAACCTTTATGAATTTGTGGGTTTTGGATTTGAAAAGAGTGACAAACAATAAATGTCAAATAAAAGAACAGAGGTCGGCAGATTTCTGTTCAACCAAAAGTGTGGCGAAGGAGGAGGTGGTTCACTTATGTTGCTTAGATTGGTCGACTTCTTTTGGGTAGTTTTCAAATTGGAGTTATGAATGCATTGATTGATACTTCAACTAATTTATGAACCCCTTTTTGTATTTTGTAATTGGAAGGCTGCTGCATGTTATAAGTGAATTCATTTTGTTTCTTTATAGAGTTTCAACTATTCCCACTATGTGAAAATGGGATTTTTTTAACCCTTTCATGGATCCTTATAACGGCCATGAGAGGCTTTGTAGAGTGGAGATTGGTAGATCAAATGGTGGTGACCAATTAGATATCTACCATCAAAATCAGTCAAAAATCAACTAAGAATAAAAAACTCTAGATTTGTAATGACCGCCAATTGGTGAGAAATTAGGTATTGGAGTCAGAGGAGTTTTATAGATATGAGAACGGAGTTCAAATAGTGGTGACAGAGAGAATTTTCACCGCCAGAATCGGCTTTGGGTAGCAACAGAATATTAACTTTGGGTGAAAAAATGGTATTTTGAAACTTTTTGGATAGAAAAGTGTCATTAGGGCAAACCTTGGGTGGGAAAAAGTTGTTTACTCTTTGGGGGCGTTTGGTTCGGTAATGTCAGATTATTGAAATAATGTCATCTGATATTACTTGATTACCACGTTTGGTTGTCAAGTAATATAAGATTTTGGTAATCTTCAAATATCAATAATAGATATTATTGGTAATATTAGAGGTAATCTGATTATCTCTATTTTCTTAGGTATTCTGAGATTATCAGGGTTATCCTTTTTTGTTACAATTGTATCCCTTATTAATGAAAATTTTGGACAATAATGCCCTCATTTTAAAATAAATTTACATCAATATCCTATTTCAATTTTACCCTTGTTTAACTAAAATTTTGGACAATAATGTCCTTGTATTTAAAACAATTTACAGACCACTGCCACTCAGCCACCACCACCACCACCACTGCCACCCAGCCACCACCGCCTACAGCGGCCAACCACCACGGACCACCTCGGAAAACTCGTCGGAGTCCCTAAAAAAGAACGAGCTTCGGTGGGAGGCTCCGGGAGTCATCGATATGGCCGTTTTCGGTAATATTGATGGCCGAAAATGGCCAGATCTAGGTTAGATCTGGTCGTTAACGGCCACGGACCTGGCTGTTAACGGCCAGATCTATTCCGGCCAAAATAGATCTGGTCGTTAACGGCCAGGTCCGTGGCTGTTAACGGCCAGATCCCTCAGATATGGCCGATAATGGCCAGGGATTTGGCCGAAAATGGCCATAATAGATCTGGTCATTTTCGGCCTGATATGGCCGTTTTCGGCCATCAATAAGGCTGGAAACGGCTATATCGAAGCCTCTTAGTCACGGTGAGTTGCTGATAGGGACTTTCGGAGACTTTCGGCTGTGGTTTGCGGTGGCGGCAGGAGGTGGGGGTGATTTCATAATAAATTAAAGTTTTATATAAGCAGGAGTGTTTTAACTAAATATGAAATATTGGTGGTTAAAAGAAATTATTCAAAAATTAATAATCAAAATAATATTATATTAATATTTGTAAAGGGGACAATTTGGTAATTTAAATAACATACCCACCAATTTATTCCCTATAACCAACCATATTAATATAACATACACACCAACTAACAAAACACATTTTCTTAAAGATTTTCAGTAATCTTTCAAGATAATCTATCTTTTCAGTAATCCAATATTTATAGTAATCTAATATTTCTGAACCAAACGCCCCCTTTAAGTTAAACGAAGATCACTTAGTGGGCAGGTGAATGCATGAAGGAATGCTTTTGAGGAAAGCAAAGTTGGAAGATTGAGAAAATCTCGTGATAGCAAGACCATGGATTTTTTAGAGGCCCAAATTGATATTTTGGGCCAAACTAAGAAACTGTTGGGGCTATCCAGATATTGGGCTTTCTCTGCTATAGGGTTGGGAGAATATAAAACTTGGGCTTGGGCTACCCCGACTGTACACTAGTATCTATTAACCAAAGATAGCAAAGCTACATTAAACAGGTATCCATATTTGGTATCCATCCATTAATGACATACCTATTATACTTGCCCATTTGAACAGTGATTATCATTAGCATACCATGTAATTAATTAATTATGTTAATTGGATTCTCCATTCAATATATATATGTACTTATATAGGGGGTCAATAGAGAGAGAGAGTTGGTGTGAAATACAGAGAGAAATTAATGGAAGAGAAGAAAGAAAAACAAAAGCAATGCATGGTTTTGTTTTCAAAACAACAAAAACATTTCCAACGTAATTGCTTTGCTTTATTACTTTGCATGTTTTTGGCTATCTTACCTTTAAATCAATCTCACTCTTTCAACTACACCCAAACCCTCTCCAAAAGCCTCCTCTACTTTGAATCACAACGCTCCGGCCGGTTGCCCCACAATCAAAGAGTCACCTGGCGCTACCACTCCGCCCTCACCGACGGCCTCGAACAAGGAGTAAGCTCTATGTTCATTTCTCTACTCTACTACTAGCAATTCATGTTAATGGTGATAGAAAATTGTGTTTAAATTAATTTGTAGGTGGACTTGGTGGGAGGGTATTATGATGCAGGTGACAATGTGAAGTTTGGTTTGCCAATGGCATTCACTATAACAATGCTCTCTTGGGGAGTTCTTGAGTACGGCGGAGATATGGCCGGCGCCGGCGAGTATGATCACGCCCTGGAGGCCATCAAGTGGGGGACGGATTATTTCATCAAAGCTCATACTCACCCCAATGAATTATGGGTTGAGGTACCGTACAAGCTATTACTTAAGCGTGTCTTAAACTTTTGTGCAAATATTATTATTGCTAATGTTTAATTAATTAGGTGGGTGATGGAGACACCGATCACTACTGTTGGCAGCGGCCGGAGGACATGACGACGTCAAGGCGAGCGTACAAGGTGGACGAGAAAAACCCTGGATCGGATGTGGCGGGGGAGACGGCGGCGGCAATGGCGGCAGCATCAATTGTGTTTAGGAAACTAAACCCACATTACTCTAACCTACTATTGCGCCATGCAAAACAGGTATGTTAGTTAAGACTAACGAGGTAGTTAACTTGTAACAGTAACACTAAAACACAGAATAATCAAATTAAATTAGAGTTAAGTACAATAGTCAGCAAAACTTGAGTGTTTAAGTAAGCATTATTAATACCAAAATTAGAGGGAATGGTTTAACTAATTGTAACACAAAGTTTTATAAAGTATTTGATTTTTCATGCAGTTGTTTGAGTTTGGTGACAAGTACAGAGGGAAATATGATAATAGCATTGAGATTGTGAAGGGTTACTATCCGTCGGTGAGTGGGTTCATGGATGAGTTGTTGTGGGCTGCTTTGTGGCTCTACAAGGCCACAGACATGGAGGTTTATTTGAAGTATGTGCTGGAAAATGGGCATGGTTTTGGTGGGATCACTTGGGCCATTACTGAGTTTAGCTGGGATGTCAAGTATGCCGGTATTCAGATCATCGCTTCCATGGTAAAAACAACACTCTCTTTTTCGCTCTCTTAATATGTTTTTATGGTTTCATGATTTTATTCTGTGTGTTTCAGTTGAGGGAAGAGAAATACAAGGAGCACAAGCATGTACTAGAACAATACCGTTCAAAAGCAGAGTATTATCTTTGTGCATGCCTCAGCAAGAACAATGAGACCAATGTGCGTCGCACCCCAGGGGGTTTATTGTTCATCCGCCAATGGAACAACATGCAGTATGTATCTACGGCGTCGTTTCTGCTCACAGTTTACAGTGATTATCTTCAGTCCACAAATCAGACGCTCAAATGTGACCGTGGCAGCTTGAACCCACAAGAAATTTTTGTCTTTGCTAAATCACAGGTTGATTACATCTTGGGTGCTAATCCAATGAGTATAAGTTACTTGGTTGGCTATGGCTTAAATTTCCCTCAAAGGGTGCACCACAGAGGAGCCTCTATTGAATCATACAAAGGGAATAAGGGTTTCATTGGGTGCACTCAAGGTTATGATAATTGGTTTAAACGGCTTGATCCTAACCCTAATGTTGTTGTTGGGGCCCTGGTTGGAGGGCCAGATGAGAATGATCTATTTATAGATCAACGGTCAGATTTTGCACAGACAGAGGCCTGCACATATAATACGGCAACACTTGCTGGTGTTTTAGCTAGATTACATAGATTAATCAGTCATGATTCACATATTAGTCCTTTAATTGCTTCTAGCTAATAGAGTTTTATCTTCATCTATCGTTTTGGTCAAATACATGGCATGAAACCACAAGGTCATTAATAAAGTTTTGACAACTTAAAATCAGAACACAAAATGTACTCCTAGTTATGATGCATAAAAGATCTTCAGAGTTCGCAAACTGAAATGAGTTATCAGTACACTTTATCCATAATAAAAGATGCCCTGAATCTATTAGAACTCTTATGACATAAAAGAAATCATGAGTCGCAGAACACTGTATTCAAGTCTATTCATACCTCATCAACTAGCAAATTGTTTCGGCAAGTGGGAGTTCAATTCAATTGATCTCTACAACACGAGTCATGATGCCTAAATGTCAGTTGTAGCTGCCCATTCTCTTATTTTGGGATTTGCCAATAAGAACAAAGAATGATCAACACAGAACAGAGTGTGAAATCACTAATACAAACAACATATAAACATATTTTAAACTATTGAGAATTGCATTACAAGATATTGATCTTAGAAACAGTCAAATACACTACTAGTTATTCGTAAAGAGCTTGCATCTAAAATAGCCTTTAGCAAAGTTTATGAAAGTACTATGAAGCAGAAATTTGAACAGAAACAGAATTCCTTCAAAAACAAGAGGTGGAAGAGCAAGCCTGTGAAAAATTTCAAAGGTTGCTAAGTAGATTTAGTCGCAGAACTTGGGACATGACTAATGACCACAGGGGGACGTATAGCTTGGTGATTGGCCAACTTCTCTTTGCGAGCCTTGTACATCTCTTCTGTCTCAATTACAACCAACCTTTTTACCTGTGCAACGACATCAAAACTATACAAACTGAAAGTACCAAAAACAGATAAAAGAAAACAAGAGGATAGTGAAATCTTCTGGGAAAAAAAATGAATAAATTCAATCAAATTGTTCTATACCTGTTGAAGCATTCCCCTGACAGTAGGAGTGTTCCACCGCATAACAGTACGGTTGCATTTGCCAAGGCGTAATGCCTCTATGGTGCGCCGGTGAAGCCTCCTTGTGCCAGGCATCCCCCTCACAAGCGTTATATATAGGTTACGGCTCCATTCAATTGGAACGCAAGCTTTGTAAGCTTTAAAAGCATTCATTTCTTTCTTGCTCCACTGACACTCCTAGAGACATCAAATGCATTAACACTGCTGCAAATGAATGTCAAGTGAAAAAAGATAAACTACCAAGTGCATATAAACATACATACAAGTAATTAAACACTATCAGGAAACGAAAAAGAGAGTACAGCATTTGTAGTCCTAAAACCCAACTTTATTTTGCTGAAAATATGGAGGCAAATGCAACAAACTGAGCAATTATGTAATGGCCTATCATCACTTATGTTCCAATTACCACAGAACACATCAAACTGAAAAAAGAAATCATATAGAGCTATTCAAACTCAAAATATTTCGACAACCAGATGACAACTAAAACTAAATGGACCTACAAACTATGCACACAAAAATTATCAATAATGCCAGTGCATTGCAACATCGAACACAAAACCTGCAATAATAAGGTGCCACTTACAGAAAAATTAACCATATAAACTAGCCAAGGATGCAACAAAATCAAAATTACAACGAGAAAGGTCATTGTAACAATGAGCATAAAACTAATGATAATATGAATCGAAACAATAAAAACATTAGACTTGTACTGCTAAAGTAAAAGTTTCAATATTAGTACACAATATCTTATACAAAAACTGATGCGCCAAGTTAAAGTTTCAATCTTAGAAGCAATCTCTTATATAGAACTGATGCGCAAATAAATAAAATCGTAAAGAGTAGAATTTACAATTCGAACCAGTTACGATTGAAACTATTTTAATTACAGGATTGAGTTAGCGATTACTACTGAGCTATGTTGCGATCTTGCAGAAATTATCAAAATTTCAATTTTTTATATAAACGTAGAACCAAATGAAACTTAAATTATGAACTTTGAACTGAGTAATATAGAAGCTATAATAAAATTAAACTGTAACCATAGAAAGGTATTATCTAATATTATTTAAGACGAGGAAAGAGTATCGAAAAGGAAGGAAACAAACATCAACTTACTAGGAGAGTGATATTTTGGCCAGTTTTGACGGAAAATGTAGGGCTTCCCGGTGGCGACAGCGGCGGCTGGCGGTGGTTTGTGTTGGATGAGAAAGTGAACGAGAGGAAGACGGCGAAGAAGAGAAGAGTTGTTGTTGAGGAGAGAGGAGGGGTTTTACAGTTTTTGTTGGGCTATTGATGGACTGAGATGTTTTATTTATTGGGCCACAGTTTGTCTAAAACAGGCCCATTTTTTACCCGAAGAAATTATTTCTGATTTCTGAACTTTTTAGATAATAGTTGAATGGGAAATTTCCTGAGAAGAAAGGGGTATTGTTTTTACCTTTTATTTTTTATTTTTTATTTTCTGGTCTTATAGGATGTGTAAATAAAATCCATTGAAGAATTTTCGGGTTTAGGGTTTAGAATCGAGAAGGTGGAGAACATTATTCTGCCTCATATATTCTCAATATGATACATAAGAAGATACATATATCAAGTTTTCCAGGATGTGGAAGAAAGTACTTTCTTATCTATTCATCTTATTACTGTTTTCAGGTTGGAAATGAAGTTGACGCAAATTAGAATACTGAATCAGATACACACAAAATATTCAGTACGTTTTGAGGCAGAAGTGCACTTTCCACAAGAACAATTAGGCCGGTAATTACTCTGTTCTTCCCATATAGTTTTTAGCTTTGTGAAGTAAATGCTAACAGAACTCTGTTCTTGACGCAGATTCATCAATTCACGTTTAAGCTGAAAAATTCTAGGTCCGTTCATCTGTTGAAAACGATCCCTAAGGTCTAACCAAATCCCTCGGGCAGAAGAAGCAAAAATAATCCTGGCAGAAATTTCCTTTGAAACCGAATTTAAGATCCAAGATATAACAATATTATTATTTCGAATCCAGGAATTGAGTAGATTATTGTCAGTACCTTTAGGTTCAGAAATAGAACCATCAACAAATCCCAATTTTGTTCTTCACAGACAGGGCAATTAACATCGCGCGACTCCAGCTGGTGTAATTTTCATCAGTGAGCTGTTGCGAGACAAGCACTTGCCCAGGGCTGTCAGAATGATGAAGATAGTAAGGATTCGAAGGTTCATCAATGGCAGAATGATTCGAATTGGTACGCTCTTCAGAATTGGAATCATCAGCGTTCGAGGACAGAGTGGCCATATTGAAGAAGACAAGAACAATCAACATAGGAAGAAAAAGAAACAAGCAAATTTGCAGCGGATCAAATACGCTCTGATACCATATTAAGCTCGAGAAGAAGAAGAAGAGCTGTGACGAAGAGAGAGAAGGAAGAATAAACTGATTTCTTTATCTTCAGAGTTCAGAATAACAAAATAGAAGCAGACTATATATATATAGCTACTATTACAATGAATTAATTATAACATAAAGTGTAATTAGTGAAGCTAACTAACTAACTAATCTGAAGATTAACAACTAATCAGTATTTACAATATTTACACATCCTAATAGAGTTCATCAAATATGTGCATCTTTTATTAAACAGCATCACAAACCCACTTTATTGATCAATACAACAAAGCAATTTTCACGGCAACAACAATCAGCAATCCAAACAACCATAATTTAGCATCAAGATCATGGAGCTTCTTCAAATGTTTTGAATTTATTAAACATAATCACAAACCCACTCATCTAATTAACTAAAGAAAATTTAAGATATATAGATATATAATCTTTGAGATCGCAAAACTTTAAGCCTCATCGCCCGTCCTGCGGTAATCAGCTCCTTCTTCAGGCTCTTCGAATTTCTTCTTCACTGGTTCAACTTTAGACTTACCAATGGTGGCCTCTTCCGCTCCATCATATAACTTATCACTCGTCTGACTCGCCACCCCTTGCTCCGCCGCTCGAAGCTTTTGCTTCTCCTCCGCAACCCTTTCGAATACTTCCGCTATTGACGGCGCTCTTTTCTCATCCATTTCGTGCCTATCATCACGCAGTCGGCTCCCTTGGCCATACCTCTGCAGCATTCAAATCAGTGACAAATAAACATGAAATTTTAATTAACCAACCAAGAAATTAGTTGAAGGTAATTACCCTGAAGGGCTTGTAGAGGCAGGCGGTGAAGGGCTTGATGGTAGATGGTCGAGCAGATTTGCAGAAGAGGAAGATGAAGCCTCTCACTTTTGGTAGCAAAGACATGGATGAAATGCTTTCAATATCAGTAACAAAAGATCTAGAAGGAGACGAAAATGAATTATTTCAAGTATCAAAAGTGGATAAAATGAGATGCACGTGTCTCCTCAAGTCGGCAGTTGATGGACACGTGGTGCTTTCTACATTTGCCACTTCATCTTAATTATACTAGATGTTCGGACAACATGAATTTATGTCTCCAATCCTCATCCGCTTATCCATTTTCAATAGTTTAAAGGATGACGTAAATGTGTAAAAACAAAATTAATGGATAATTAGTTATTTTTTAGTAATATAGGGGTTTATATGATATTGTTCTGTAAGATTTATTTACTAAATACTGTAAAGTCAAACAGTTGACCCAGCTATCAACTCGTCTTCTTTCTGAAATTAGGGTTTCTGTGAGCTGAACTTCACTGTCGTCTGCAACAACTGTTTAGCTCTTCGCGATATGGAGACAAACGGAGATGTTGCTGACGTGTCTCGAATCCTCAGCGAACTCGAAACCTTAAAGTCTGCTAAGAGCGACATTGAGCATCGAATTTCCGTCCTCGAAGCTCAGCTTCGTGAGAAACATGACGCCGTTACTAACGGTTCTTGTCCTTCTATCTTTACCGTTGATTCCAATGGCTTATCCCCGGACATGATCTACCGTTACAGTCGACACCTCTTGCTTCCTTCCTTCGGAGTTCAAGGTCTTAATTTTCAATTTACAACTTCATTTTTTTTTTTTTTTTTTTTTTAATAATTGTATTGCTTGAATTTGAATTTTTTTTTTTTTTTTTAAAATTTTGGGTACAGGGCAGTCAAATTTATTAAAGTCTTCAATTCTGGTCATCGGTGCTGGTGGGTTGGGCTCACCAGCTCTGCTCTATCTTGCAGCTTGTGGGGTTGGTAAGAAGAAAATTTTATTGGGGAGTTATAGAGTTTGTTGACGTTCGATTTTTCGTGAAATGCAAAAGACCGCAGCAGAGAACAACTATTGTTATGTATATTCGTTTTGAAAGTATATCTTTGCAATTTGAACCTTTGAGGTTCTTGAAACTATTTTATTGGGTTTGTTTCTCAGGGCGCTTGGGTATTGTGGATCATGATGTAGTTGAGCTTAACAACATGCACAGGCAGGTATAAGATTTAATGTTTAATATCTACGTGCTCGTAAGCAATGGCTTTGATAACGTGCCTGCTTGTGATTCTAGTAAAATTTTGTCTTAAAAAAACGTGGATATATATTGGTTGGTGGTCTGCACATTTAAGAAAAATAGAATTTATGATTGCTTAAGGTTATTGATAACCTTCATGAGTTTGAATCTTTTCCATTTGATGCGTTTACTTTTATAACTGTGTTTCTGATTAGTCATGTTGATTTTTTTTTTTTTTCCAATTATTGTTTGGAATTTTGATTTAATCCCTTTTTTAATTAATGTCTCTGTAATTTCCTGATTTCAGGTTATCCACACTGAAGCATATATTGGTCAGCCAAAAGTGAGATCAGCTGCTGCTGCTTGTCGCTTGTATGATACACTTTTCTGAATATTTGTGTACTTCTGACAGAATTCTTTGCTGAATTTCACTGCTTTGAAAAGGCCAAACTCACCTTTGCTTTTTCCGTAGAAGTTTTATAGAAATTTCTGTAGAAATTGGTTTTTCTTGGTTTTGTCTTACATGGAGCTGTCTTCCAGGATCAACTCCACCATTCAGATTGTTGAACACCAGGAAGCATTACGCACATCGAATGCTTTGGAGATTTTGAGCAAGTATCCTTGATAAAATAACTTTTAACTGAATCTCATCTTTTTTTTTTTTTTTCTTCCTTTATTTTTTAATGCTGTGTTGTGAAATGTTAAGGATTCCATGACCGCTATCACTTTTTAGATACGACGTAGTAGTAGATGCAACTGATAATGCACCAAGCAGATACATGATCAGTGATTGTTGTGTGGTGTTGGGGAAGGTAAGCTTCTGTAAAGTGCACATTCTTTTGAATGATTGTCCACAGATGTATAAATTGACTTCCAAACATGGTAGCTGTTTTCCAAAGTTACCTTCTATTTAGATCAACCTAGTTTCTTTCCCTCTAAATTGTTTCAACTTTTAAATTATTGAATTTTAGTTCCAAACAACAGGGTGATGAAGCCACCAAAGGTTCTGTCCTAAATTTACTTCATTTTCAGTCAAATGAGGCATGATAATGCCTTAGTATTTATAAGATTGTCTCCAGTTAACATTTACATGCATGAAGCTTTGAGGCATGGTTGTTTTTTGATAAGATAGAAAAGGAGAGTCAATTATGGGCCATCATTTCTAAGAGTATTAATTATCATTTGCATGTTGTCACATGCAGCCTCTTGTATCTGGTGCTGCACTGGGATTGGAAGGGCAGGTATGCATGCCACAGTTTGACTTTTATTGGTTGAAGCATATAAATTTCTGCATATATGCAAAATTAATTTAGCTTCTGTATTTGCATGCAAATTCTTAGCATGACCATTGTTGGAGTTTACCTTGCAGCTTACAGTTTACAACTACAATGGAGGTCCTTGCTATCGATGCCTATTTCCAACTCCACCTCCTACAACAGCGTGCCAAAGATGTGCTGATAGCGGAGTCTTAGGAGTAGGTATGTTGATTCCTTTTTGACATGACTAGTGCTAATTTTAAACGACAAGTTGACCACCATAACATCCATTTACGAAGTTATGAAGCGTGTTCGCTGGAGAAGTTCTTGTGAATAATATTAAGAAATTATCACTTCTGTCCATGTTTACTGAGTCGTAGTTAAAGATGTTATCTTTGATCTTGGTAGTTGCTTTGCATGTTAAAAGGTTTTTCCTCATAGGAATTCTCCATCCCTCAAAATATAATGCAAATCGAAATCAGAATCATGTATAGAAATGTACATAATGTATTGGTTTTAAACATGTGAAAAATCAATGTTGATCCTTGCTGTCAATTTGCTATTAAATTCAATATCCATATCAATTAATTAAAATTAGTCCTCATATTAGATGGAAATGCTTTAATAATTTATCCACGAAAAACTAATTCCTTTAATTATTTATTTCAGTTCCTGGAATCATCGGCTGTCTCCAAGCTTTAGAGGCCATTAAAATTGCAAGTGCTATTGGTGAACCACTCTCAGGAAGGATGCTTCTATTTGATGCTTTGTCAGGACGAATTCGTGTTGTAAGTTTCATTTTCCTCCTTTTGTTGTGTCTATTTAGTTCAATTTTAGTATGAATTGCATGGTTCGTTTGGTCTGCTCATAGAGGTTATCCCTTCTATTCTCCAATTAGTGCTTAATGTTATCAGCCTTAGCAAGTTTGAGTGGCTGGTAATTATCACCTTTGATACTTGTTGAAGCTGTATATATATTTGTCAGGGTTCTGATCTGAATAACTTTTGTTTAGCTTTTGCATGACCAGATTGTTTTCTATCTGGAGTTCAAAATTGACCCATCTTTTAATAGTTTGTCTTTGTTGGAGAGGTATTAGTTTCTGTTCTGATATATGATTTACCTTTTGCTTAGGTCAAGATTAGAGGCAGATCATCACAGTGCGAAGTTTGTGGAGAAAATTCAGCATTTACCAAAGATGTATTTAGAAATTTTGATTACGAGAAGTTCACTCAATCTCCTCTATCTACGGTATTACTTCTCGTTTCAGTTGCATATGTGTTTGATTGTATTTATTTCATTATTTAGCCTAATACAATGACTTAATGTTAGCTAAATCAAATGCCTGATGAACCAATTATATGCAGCTTCCCTTGAAGTTGAATTTGCTTCCAGCAGATTCCAGAATAAGTAGCAAGGAATATAAAGAAAAAGTTGTTAATGGGGAAGCACATGTATTAGTGGATGTACGGCCAGCACATCACTTTAAGATTGTCTCTTTACCAGATTCCATAAACATCCCACTTGCAAGTCTGGAGGCGAGGTTACCTGAGATTTCTTCAGCGTTGAAAGAAAAAGAAGAGCAGAACGGAACTAATCCTGGTTCGGGTGCTAGCCTATATGTAGTATGTAGAAGAGGCAATGATTCGCAGAGAGCTGTGCAGCGCCTCCAGACAATGGGTTTCACTTCAGCTAGGGATATTGTCGGGGGTATTGAGTCTTGGGCGCGTGATGTAGATCCAAACTTCCCTACCTATTAGTGGGCATTGTCGAGAGAGGCATGTTTTTACCATTATTAATTTATCACTGTACTTATTCCTTCCATATTCTATTTCTTGCTGCATAAATTACATGAAACCATAAGAGTCAGAGAGAGTTCCTCTATAGGCTATAGCTAACCTTGAAGTAGCGTATAATTTTGACCTAGAACCATTTTTGTAATATTGTTATCCCTTTGTGTTGGTGAATTGGTGTAATAGAACTGAATGACTGATGTTTTGGATATAAGCATTGTTTTAAAAACCGAACCGGAGGGCAACCCGATCTGATGGCCAGGTCACGGTTCAATCGGTCCAACCGGTTGGACCGTCAGTTGGACCGATGATATCATCACACATCATACTGACGTTAGCACATTTAAAAAAAAAAAAAAATTTTTTTTTTTTTTAGATTTCTATTTTTTAATAAGATAATAACAACTTAATTACTGTTCAACATGACTCAAAGTTTAAATTCAACAATAATTCTAACATAATTTAAGTATTTAACAACAATTCAAAGTTTAAATCTAAATATGATGTTGTATTTACATATCAAATGTCAAAATACATAATAATTAATAACAAAACATTTGATGCAAGTGTTTTTTCTTTGATCCGTCTCCAGGTTGATTGAGTTTCACACACTAGCATCAAAATTCATTACCATCATCACCATCATCATCATCAAAACCATCACCACCATCTACGCAAATTTCAGTAAAAAATAAAAATCATAAGTTAAAACTTGTAATCTCAAGATAAATGCAACCAACAATTTTTAATCTTTTTCAAGATCATCTGTGAGTAAACTTTTTGGTATAATCAAAAGAATTAAATACAAAATACATTGTTAATTGTTTTTATATGGCATATAAATGTAACATAAAACAAAACTTGTCGTCACTCACAACCACAGCCATGAAAGAATGTGATTACTACAGTGCTAGTACCAACTATTAGGTTTGAATGTGATAGAAAGTTATGCTCACAACCACAGCCACGAAAGAATGACTTAAAATGGAGTATGCCAGCCCAATCTGCAGATATCCTATCTTGTTTAACCAGGTTTTGCAAAACTATATATGAATGGAGCTCACCATCAAATTTTAACTCTGAAATCTGAACAAATAAGAAAATTAGATAATTACATCTCAGTGCCCCACCAAAACCTGCTGATTGAAAAGACACTAATGCAGATTCACAGGCAAGGTCTAGTCAGAAGTTAGGCTCCTAATGCTTCTTCCTTCAAGTTACTTTTTGATAGTCTTTCATGAGCTTATGCTAACAGGAGCAAGCCTCAGAATGCAAAAAAAACTATCATAACAACTATCAACTAAGGGAAGCTTTTTATGACCTGAAAATCTATACTAGCTAAGCCAATTACTTAATCATCTACAGTCTCTCAACAAAAGTAATTTTCATCTTTGTTTAAACTCTTGGTCATGTATCAGCATTTTCAAAAAAATGTTGCAAACTCTACATCCAATCAATGGTAGAGCATTGAACTTTCTATAGTGGAATCAATCAAGGACTGATTTTTAACATCAATATCTGGTTCTACAGAAATTAAAAGATCCCAACACCTAAAATAACATCGTAAAACTACAATAAGTCAAGCTTGCAATTACGTTCTACTTTTTAATTTTTTGAGAATATTTGTTAATTTTCACTTAATTCTATTACTCCCATCATTTACGTTTAAAAGATTTGAAGTTGTAGTAGTCAAACTACAAAAGTATACATAAAGGTTTTAAAACTTACATAGACCTCATAATTTTTTACCATATATAAATTGGAATAAATTCCCTGCACTTTTTTTGTGCAAATATACTTGAATCAAAGCACAACCATCATCAAGATCATGTTAATACAACCACAACAGCTCTATAGATTGAAAAATGTAAAGGGTGTTAACTTAAATGTAAAGGGAGCGAGGAATGGCATTACCTGGATCGACGAATGGAGCTGTCGTCGTCGATTTCCAGCGAGGGAGGAAAATGTTGTTGATTTCCGACGAGTTCAGATGCGATTTGGGTGGGATTTCAGAGAGAACAGAAGACAGAGCCGAAACCGTGAGAATTTTCGCAAAGATCAGAGTATTTGCTGAGAAATTTTCATGAGAAAAACTGAGAAAGACTGAAGAGAAAAAGATGAGAAAGGGCTGCGTGACAGAGAAGAAGAGAAGAAAGGGTTGCGTGAAAGAGAAGAAGATTATCGCGTATTAGGGATTTAAATTGTGGACTGGTTTTTACCGGACCGGCGGTTCACTCATATTATCCGGTTTTTAACCGGTTTAAAACTGCTCAATGTATATTAGCGGGTTTGAGGGTGACTCGAACCGAACACGTGACCGGTTCACGGTCCAGTCGGTTGGACCGGTCAGTCCGGTCCGGTTTTTAAAACAGTGGATATGAGCTTACCCTTTGTTTCTTATCTTTATCTCTCAATTGGCAGAAAATTATCACCAATGGCCAAGCGCATATTCAAATAATATGAATACTGCATAATAAATATGTACCTGTTTTTAATGTATGTTCAATTTTCCCATTATTTCTATTGGACCCACGCATTTTTTTGAGATTGATTCATAAAAGAAAATTAAAAAATATGAAGGGATTAAAATAAAAATAACAAAAAAAATACATATTTCCACTTCCCAGTTTCTTTTACAGCATGCATGCATAACAAAGCCAAAGGTGGTTCATTTACTTTATAAGCATTGCTCTTTTTGAAGGACAACAAATAGATATTGACAAAGCAAACTTGCATACGTTATGATTTATAAGTAGAACAATATCACTAAACAAACCATGAATACATCAAACTGCTGAAATATCAAATATGGAGCTTCCACAATCCACACACTATTGAAAGACACATGCATAAACATTACAGCATAATGAGAACATATATTATATGTAGCCAGACCAATGACTAAGAGAAATTGTTCAAGAAAATTAACATCTTCAACCCCATAAATAGAAATGACAAGAAAATATAATGATCACTAGAACTTTAACTTCAATTCATAGAAGGTGGCTGACCACCCCACAGAGGTTGTTGTCTGCCACCACCACCACCGCCACCTGGTGGAGGGCGGGGCCATGGAGGGCGCGGTCGTGGCTTTGGCCAAGGCTGAGCATATCCACACATACCATAGTAGCAACGTACTCCCCGAGCGCATCTATTGCCACATTTGCCACAATTAAAGCGGCTGACATTTGTATTGCTACAAAAGCCACGGCAACATTGCCAAGTAAATGGGCATCTAGTCCCACACAAACCACAGTGATTAACATCAGAGCTCACATCAACACAACGGTTCCTACAACATCTCATCCGGCTTCCTGGTGGCTCCCCCTGTCTACATATCCATGGCCTGTTCCAGCACCCTGGTGGCCTCGGATCTCGCCCGCGCCCTCCATTGGTTACTTTGTTAAGCCACGGCGATGATGCTAATGAGCCATTGGTGGTACTTTGGAGCACCCTTTTGGGCACAAATTTGCTTTCAACTATTACAAAGGGTAAAAGAATTAGTATTAAGGAGGTGATTAGAGCATAATTGGCCAACCGGGTCATTTGGAGATCCATTAGAGAAAATTATGGAGGTTACATATATTTATATAAGAAAAAAGTTTGATTCAGTTACTATTATGAGGCTTGATGTTCAGGCTTTTCTTATAGGTTACTATCAAATTCTCGTGTTGTGGTAGGTGGTGATTACTAATTACGTGATAGACAGGAGAATTATGCTTTGCTTGAGTTGTGCTTGGAGGTGGTTTACCTTTAACAAATCTTTTTGTCACAACTTTTAACAATTCTCAAATTAAAAAATTTGTGCCTAATCCTTGATTTTAGATGGGTTTTTTTTCTTCTTATTGTTGAACTGTTTGTCATAAGGTACGCCTGAGGTCAGTCACTTTTCATTAATAGCTACCCACTCTCTAGCATTGCCAAATCTCAGAAGGGTGGTTGTAATTTGTGACCCTCAAGCATATCACATGGTTTGCACATTCCAATCTGCATTACAAAAATACCAATTTGCATTACAACATGAGTTAGCAAACAAAATGCAGCTGAATATTCTGAAAATGTTTTACATGAGCTAGAAGGAAATTAAGAGGAAGAGGATGTTAAGGAACACATCAAAGCCAAGAGCTCCTACTTCTGAGTTCTTCTCATGGCTCTGTTTCCAGCAGACAAGTTACAGAGACCTACTCATTCATGAATATGAACATAAAAGAGCGTGTCAAATGAACATATTGAACCATATCCAGAAGCAATAATCAGAACAAACAGTTCACGAATCATAGTGCGATTTACTCATGGTTTAGGGTACAATAAAAATTTGTGAATTAAAGCACTTCTTTGAACTGTAAAATCTGCTAGTAGTCAAAACATTTGATTGAATTACTCAAAATAACTTCCAAATTGTGTTGCCTCACTACTATAATCAAAATGGAAATTTGTTTAAAATCTAAACACACATGGAGCAGCAAATTGATGTGCTTCAGAGCACCAGGTTTTGGTTTATTTCTGAAAATAGAAATTTAAGTCTAGCTGCAAATATCTAACTTCTTTGCGCATTTTTGCTTCATTTTTCATTGTTTTCAGTATTCTCCTGCTGCTCATAACGACGCTTAAACTTAGCAAGCTGTCCAATACTCTTTTTAACCGTTAAATTTTGTTGATGCTTAATTTTGACACCAACTAATCGCACGTGTGAAATGTTGAGCTGACTCAGAAGACACACATGTATATGAGGATATTAGATTAAGTAATAGATGACGAACAATGTTTTAAGTGGTTCGGATGTTTAAACAAGCGAATCCTATGTCCACTGATATTGTATTAATATATAAGATCGGGTTGCATTCAACGAGCTGATTTATAGCTTGAATAATACAAATGAATACAAGAGAGAGAGAGAGAGAGAGAGAGAGAGAGAGAGAATGCTATTTCAGAGAAAAATTAGCTAATCTCACAAACGGGAGATGAGCCCTCTATTTATAGTGGGATGAATTGAAGTAATGATTACTGAATCTATGAGTGTGTCAGATTGCCGTGCAAATCCTTCTTTGCATCTTGTTGCTCATCGGCTCGAGTGATTTCTTCGACTTCTGCAAGGATTGGGCACGTGGACATTTTCTAGCCTTTCGCCAATTTGGCGTACACCCACTGTACTGGCAGGAGCATGCCGCTCACTTCAACATGCGACGTGACTGCGTTTGAATGGCTGCAGAACCTACCTAAACTCTGACCACCCATACTGACAAGGTTCGACATTAACCCTATTTTTTCAGGTATAACAAATTTAATGCTTGAAATTTAAAATTGGATGGGAATTTGAAATTTATGAAACTATAGATTCGTAAAACTTTGGTTGGGTAAATGTCTTTTACTCCTTCTAGAATTATAGGGTTGCACTGCAAATGATATTATAATTAAGTCAGAGGATAGATTTAAAACATTCATATTTCGACGGCCAATTATAGTATGGGTTATTTTGATATTTCGTCAATCACAAGGGAATTAATGATTTATCACATAATTACAGAGTTAATTATGATATATATATATATAGGTTTAGTAAATTTCCTTAAAAATAAATAATATAGGCGTTACCGAAACCTACTCATTCATGAACATGTACACAAAAGAGAGGACAACCGTGTCCAATTAAATCATATCCAGAAGCAATAATCAGATGAATAACTTTATTTCACGGTTAACGAAACAAACTGCTCATGAATCATGGTGTGATTTACTCATAGTTTAGGGTACAATAAAAATTGTGAACTGAAGCAACTGTAAATATGCAAGCAGTCAAAATACTTGATTGAATTACTCAAAATAACTTCCAAATTGTGTTGCCTCACTACTATAATCAAAATGGAAATTTATTTAAAATCTAAGCACACATGGAGCAGCAAAATGATGTGCTTCAAAGCACCAGGTTTTGGTTTATTTCTGAAAATAGAAATTTAAGTCTAGCTGCAAATATCTAACTTCTCCGCGCATTTTTGCTTCATTTTTCATTGTTTTCAGTATTCTCCTGCTGCCCATAACGACGTTTAAACTTAGCAACCTGTCCAATACTTTCAGCCATTTGGCGTTTTGCCCTAAGATGGTACACTTTGCCGACATGGTGTATTTTTGTCATCGTAGCATGCATCAATCTGCCGCACGGGGTCACATAGGAAACCCATTGCAGCTGAGGGTGCAGTCCCTTCTTCATTTCTTTAAATCTGCAATCCGGATTCGAGACAGAAGCTTATGATATAGAACTTTATGCACAAAGAATATCAAAATAACTAGTCTTGCCCATACAGAACAACGATAGCAACGTGATAAAAAACAATTATCAGATGAATGCAAAACTCACCGAATACCTAAAAGCCTAATGATACTTTTTAATATAATGCTGATAACAGGAATTCACTTGATTAAAACAGCTTCCTAGGCAAATTTTGCAAGTAAATCAAGTTTTTAAAAAATGAAGAGCTGAAGACCTTACTTGGTTACCTGTTTCCCAACAGGGAGCAAAAACGTGTAGAAATTTATAGAAACCATGAGTTCGTTATCATAATTACTCAACATTTAACATATCATAACCTATGAATATAAATGATGATAGACATGTATGGATAAGTGACAAGGTCATAAACGTGTAAACATTAAACAAACAAACATCTTGTTTCACCTTTAGACAAACAAATTATAAGATATTTTAAGTACTATTAGTTGAGTTTTTGCTTAATAAAATTCTCCATTCCTTCAATTCCCATTCTTTCGAAGAGCATGGATTCCGCCCAAGTTATGTTCAAACACCCTTAGAAAATTAGCTAGCTCGGCTCATTAAGAAAAAATTTAAACATTTTTATCATAATACATAACACCATCAACCATTAGTTGGACCTAATTTGACAAAAAAATAAAATAAAATAAAAATGTATGATAGAAACCCAACCCTTCTTCCACACAATATACACTCTTATGCATAAACATTACTCACGAGTCCAATGCGATTGATAATGCGACGAATTGTTTACATTATCAATTAAACAAAAAGTGTATAAGAAACAACAGCTAATTTCTGAGAGTCATTTCATCGAACACCTTGCAATACAACAATACGCGAAACCCATTTGCATAAAAATCATATTCAAAAAAATAATTCCCTTAATCTACCAGACTGACATACAAAACCCACTTCTTGTTTTCTTTGAATTAATCAAATCCCATAGTGCGATTCATACTTCATACTCAAGCCCTAACGCCAATACATATAGAACGAATAATGCTTTATAAGAATTCCATTTTCTTCTAAAATAACACTAAATCAAAAGGAGAATAACAAACTGTTGAAGAGATATTAAGTGAATGTTTAATGAGGTGAAGTTCGGAACTTACAGTGACGGGGAGAACTTACAGTGACGGAGAGAGCTTACAGTCACAGACCTCGGTTAAGCGATTCAGGTAACTTAATTCTTATTTGTTCTGTTTGTGTAATTATATTATATTTCTAGAAGGGTAAAGGATATTTACATTTACCCACCCAAGGTTTGGCTAATATATTTCCCACCCTTAGTTTCAGAAATTGCAAATCCCGCCCAATTTTAAACTCTGTTAAGATAAATTTTGCTTTGATCAGGTTTGACTAGTTAAATACCATTTTTACCCCCTTATTATAATAATAAGTAAATTAATAAATTACTTTCTAGCCCTCAAATTAATAAAATTAGCAAAATAATCATCTTTCTTTCAAATTTATTATAATAACATCTTCATCCTCAACATTCCTCTTCTCTGCAGCAACTAGATCTGGTTGTGGGGATCTTCTCCCCCTCTTTCTCTCTCTCTTTCTCCATATCTTTTCTCCACCTCTTTCTCTCCTCTTTTCTCTCTCTTTCTTCATTTCTCCTCTCCGCAATTACCAGATCTAGCTGCACATGGTGGTGGTGGTAGTGGTGGTGGAGTACCAAAGTTGGAGGTTGAGAGGAAGGGTTGGGTTATGAGAAAATTTTGAGATGTGGAGGGTTATATTAAAATTTTACTAATTTGGGGGAGTGAGAGACATTAGGGTATACTATTTTTTGGATAAAAAGACTTAAATATCCTTTTAACTATTAAATTTAATGTTTGAAATTTAAAATTTGGTGGGAATTTGCAATTTATAAAACCACAGGTGGGAACTATAGATTCGTCAAACCTTGAGCGGAAAAACATTTTTTACTCTTTCTAGAATTATAAGGGTACATTGTAAATAATATTATAATTAACTTCGAGGCTAAATTTAAAACATTGATTTTTTTTTTTTTTTTGATAAAAAAAACATTGATATTTCAACAACCTATTATAGTATGGGTTATTTTAATAATTTATCCACAATAAAGGGTTTTGTAATATTTCACATATTGGCTATGTGTAATCATGGGGGTTATATTGATATTTTGTCAAGCACAAAAGGTTTAATGATTCATCACATAATTGCGGAGTTAATTATGATTTATGTATATATAAATAAATAAAAGCTTTGGGGTTTAGTAAAATTTCCTTAAAAATAAATTATATAAGTGTTATTTTGAATTTTGATAAGCATAAGGGTGTTTAAATAATTAAATAATTTAACAAATAATTGACACTTCTTAATTTTGGATAATTTTGAAAATTTAAATGATATAATATTTGTATTTGTATTTATTATTTTAGAAAATGGAGGGGTTATTTTAATATTATAAGAAAGCTCAATGATTAAAGAAAATGACATTAGTTTAAGAGAAACAATTAAATACTAATGTAAGAATCTAATTTGTTAACCATTTGAATGATAGCTGGGTTGCACCAAACCTCAGATTGCTTACATAAATTAATCACGTTATAATGATGGATTAAATTATTGTAAATTATCAATGAAAAGGGTTTTCTTCTTCCTCTTAAGAGGGAAATTGGGTCAAAAGTTGGTAGGTTTAGAGGGACCAATGCTGTAAAAATCAACCCTACCTCATTGCTTACGCAAATTTTGCAATATTTGAATATGTCATCTTGATTTGATCGTGCCTTAATTTTATTATAGTTAAAACTTAAAAGGAATCACCTCAACTTTCACAGCACATTTATGAGAGGAGGCTATACTCAAATGTCAGCAAAAGGGTTCAACCTCTGCTACAAAATATGAAGTATCCGAATGTCGTAAAAGGTTTTGATCTCCGCAACAAAGTATGACTTCTGCTACAAAAGCATGAAGTATTCGAATCTTGTAAAAAGTTTTGAACTCCGCTATGACGAGTGAAGTTATGCGGACGACTATTCAAAAGGTTATGATCTCTTTCCTAAGGACATTGACAATGGAAACATTAAGTTTATATAAACAGTGATAGAGTTAACTTTTTTTTTTTTTCCACCTAAATAATTGTTTAATGACATTTTTTTACTTACAGGCTTTTAAAATACCATTTAACTATTCAAATTTATATTGCGGTGACAAACATAGAACAAACTCGATCAAAGATGTTGGAACTTTTGAAGAGGAGAAATCAATGAGTCTTTTAATAGTAAAATATTAGATTTTAGTGATTGAAATTGATCATAATTTGACTTGAGATGGACGATTACGCAAACCCTAATCACTCGATTATCGACGATATCAATGGGAGAAGGGTTTTAAAGAGTGATAATTGAAAAAGAGAAAAATAATGGGTCAATATCAATGGGAGAAGGGTTTTAAAGAGTGATAATTGAAAAAGAGAACAATAATGGTACGAAACCATAACGAGATTCTAGAATCAGAAATAAAATATAAATATAAATAATAAAATGATATTTTAAAAATTTATAAATAAAAAAAGGCATCACTAAACCATAATTTGAATGGAAAATAAAGTTGTTTACGCAAGAGTAATACGAAGAATCAATCATTTGAAGGGCACATGGGCATCGGGCCCAGAGAGAGAGAGAGAGCAATAATTGATTAAGTGGTTCCCTAATCCCCAGAATGTGTGCAATTATAAAGCAACTAAAAATAATTATAAAGATATTAATCATGATTGCATATAAGAGAGGCAAATAATAAAGATCTCACACAGCAAACACTGTATCTTACATAACACTGAAAGCATGTATAAACACATCATGAGTCTGATGATAAGTTTCAACACAAACACAAATTACAGCAACCACTGCAAACACAGTTTGCTTATTCGGGCAACAGCCTCAATCAATCAATCTCATATGCTAGACACCAACATAAATGAGCCAGACCCAAATCCACAGATGGTCTGGTCTTCAGGCCCAGATCTTACTGGCGAACTAGGCATTCCTGAGTCCCCGGCACCATGGTGCAGCGGGAGCTTGTGTTAATGGCACCAACTTCTTCAAGAGCTGGAGGTTCAACATCTGCCTCCTCAAGCAAGCCCTTGGCAACATCGCCATTGGTAGTATCACCGGAGGAAATGGCTTCAAAGATGAGAGCATTCACTTCCTGGAACCTCTCTTCAGAGAGAGAGACTTCAGCTAGCAGCCTCCAAGCATTTTCCTCGGATGCCTCCTCATAGTCCTCCTTCCTCTTTAACACCATATGCCCACTGATTTCCCACACAGCTGGGTTGACTTGGGTGTCAAGAATCTCGGCACTCACTTCCCCAAGAGCTTGTTTCTCAGCATAGCACTGTGTTTCGCCAGTAAAGCAAAACAAATAAGGAATATAGTTCACACACATACCATGGATAATGAAATTACCCCAATTATGGTTCTAACTTTATTACCTGTGGTAAGAGGAATATGCGCTTTCCACAATCAGAAATGAGCACATTGTAAGGTATGTTGTTTTCCTGAAGGCAAATACAAGCATCCGAGACAGTGTTGGATAAATCTACTACAGCATTTCCACCCTCAAAGACAAGACCTCTGACTGGGTAATTCAAAAGCTCGGAAATCTGCACCCCATTATCCATAGAAGTCATCTTCTTAGTAGGGGCCTTCTCAATTGGGAAGGGCACGGCCAAGTAGTAAGCCTGTAACACAGAACCGTTGAATTTGATTGTAATAACCAGCAGTGATACTAGTACTTCTTAAAAATCATGAGCCAAAACCTGAATTTTTAGTTCAGGTCGAGGTAAAGTTAAATAAATATAAACCTGGAAGTGAAGGTGATTGATGGTAGCAAATGCACCCAGGCTATTGTAACCCAAGCGGAAGTACTGATTCCCAGCTTCAGCAGCCATGTGAAGTGCAAGCAAGAAGCTATCACGGTCAATCCTCTGTGGTAAGCACTCAAGAACCCGTGGGATCAGCAGCACATGCCCATATTCAATAGGACTAACCTGTTCAATAGCACGTGATAAAAAACATTATTTAGTAGGTTGTTCATCTTAAATTAACTAAATCTCAAAATTTCTATTCTAAATCAAGAACAAAGACTTACATTGATGGCAACAACACTTGGAGAATTCTCAACATCAATGGGCGCATTTGGGAAGAACTGAACTTCACCATCTTCGCTTGCTTCAAACTGGAAGAGCACCTCTTCCTGCCCAACTTTCGTGAAGTTGAATTTATTCCCATCAAAAGGCTGGAGGACCTTGTCAACACGGAATTCAGTTGGCCTCTTCTTCAGGTGGCGGCCCTCGTTCAGCTGGGCAATGAAACCATACTCGCCTGGAATCACCTAAACCAAGATAAAATAACAAAAATAAATAAATAACCAAAAGATCTCGATGAAACCCCTTATCTAAATTCATAAACATCAAAGTAAAATATAAGTAGAAACCAGAAAGAGACCTTGGTTTCACAGGCAGTGACATCATAGCGAAAGAGTCCTCTCTGCATGCGGTCTTCCCACTACAATGATATATAAAACTAATTTAACCTTAAATCCGAAAATTAAAACCATAAGACCAACATAAATTTGAAATTCAATTTTCTTTTCATCATTTGCTAAACAAAATTTACCTCCCCAAGAAGAAGCGAGTCGAGAAATGCAACCGGAGGCTCGCTATTCTCATTTTCAAACACTCCCTTTCCAGTCTCAGACTTGTTCACGCTCTTGAACAAATATAAGGGAAGATTTGCCCCTATCGAACAAAAACATACATCAATTAATTCCTAATTTGAACTAAAAGAAAGAAAAGGAAAAAATCACAGAGGCATTTAGAGAAGCACCTTCGATGCAGCACTTGTTAAGGCAATTCCGACCGCACCCGCCTCCGCGACGAGTAACCTCTTCGGCCTCCTCTTTCTGGTAATTTGAAACAACGGTTGGCACTCTCTTGATCCTCAACATCTTTTCTATCTTTCTTTCTCTTAACAAAACAAGTATAAACACAACAAGAAGAAGAACAGGAACAACGACGACGACGACGAGAGGGCTTTTGGGCTTTTCTTAAATTTAAGATCTAAAAACTTCTAAAAACAAACTTACTCTTAAAAATAATCTAATCTACTAGCAAAACCTAAAAAACACCACCGCCAGCAAGAAAGAGAAGGTCGGAAGGGCTACCGCCTTCAGACGGCAAAGCGCCACGCCCGC